GGCGAAACTCACAGCAGCCACGAAGTACATCAAGTATACTCTGGCTGACCTTGATGCTTCAGCTTCCTTGTTTGCCCACCACCTACGGGACAATGGACTACTGAATGGCCGTTCCAAAGGGGACACCACCAGTAGGATGACTGTTGGGCTTCTAGGCGTTAGCAACATAAGTTATTTAGTCACCGAGTTAGCGCTTTATCGAATGGGCTACTGTTAGTGCATAACCGTGACATACGGCAATCTTGCTCTGACGTTGTCAATCCTTCTACAGGCGTACTCTTCTTGTCGCCGAATAACTCTCCTCCCGCGATTGCCCACCTGTTGACCGTGACAAATGCAACCCACATGATAGTGCAAGATGTGCTACTACCTTCCGCAACAGAAGCTCTTACCCATCTCAGCAACCCCAGTTCTGTGACGATCATCAACCAGCCTTCATCTGACGTCTTCGGCCCTGCCGCTCGTTCTTTGTACCCAGAGAAGACGCGATGGGACCCTGCATTAAAGTGGGAGGATGAATATCTTCTTCCAGTTACGATCATCCACTCGAGTGGCTCTACTGGTTTCCCAAAGCCGATTACTGCAACCAACAAAGCGGCTATAGGCAACTGCGTCATGAGTTTCGGTCTTACGACTTTAACGACCTTGCCATTGTATCATGTATGTTGCTCGCATGTCTTTCCGGAAACCACTCATTTTGCCTTGAACAGGGACACGGCCACTCCAATGTTTATCGTGCAATATATTCTGCAAAACCACTGTACCTCTTCCCAACTGGATCAATACCATTGACATCCGCCAACGTTATCAGGCTTCTCAAGCAAGCTCCGGATGTGGAGTCACTATCTGGCGTTCCTCTAGCATTGAAAATCCTCGCTGAGACCACTGAAGGTCTGCAGATCCTCAAGAGTCTCAAGCTTGTCATGTTCGGCGGTAGCGCATGTCCTGACAAGCTCGGTGACTTCCTTGTTAACGAGGGCGTCCGCTTGGTTGGTCATTATGGTCTCAGTGAGTGATATGTTGACAGGTCGAGGGAAACTTGACGTTCAGCATGCCTCTTTTCAATGCAGCTGAAATGGGTCAACTCATGACGTCTTTCCGTGACTTTGAGACTGACAAGGGCTGGAATTGGACGCGCGCTAAGGGGCCGCATGTGAACACGAATGTGAACGATTACCTGCGATTCGAACCTCGGGGCGGGGATACCTATGAACTGTTCGTTTTAGATGGCTGGCCAATGAAGGCAAGTGTTTATCTACCATTGGATTACGTCGTCTCAATTACCTGCGAAGGTTATGACCAACCAACCCGATGGGTCATACGCAACGAAAGATCTATTTATCAAGCATCCCACCATCCCAGATACATACAAGTTCATCGGGCGAATCGACGATACCTTAGTCATGGTGTGTATGTTGCCAAATCAACATAATTTTTATTCAATAATATGCCCAGGTTAACGGCGAGAAGACGAATCCTGTCCCGATGGAGCTCACACTTCGCTCGTCGCCCTACATTGCGGATGCTGTGATCTTCGGTGCTGGTCGCATTCAAATTGGAGCTCTGATTCTTCCAACCGAAATCGTAAAAGACTGCTCTCCTTCGGAGCTCGTTAAGCTTGTGGCGCCTATCGTCGCCCTCACCAATGCCGAGGCTCCCTCGCACTCACAGCTTGCGTCGGAAGCCCTTGAGTTTCTCCCTTACGGCACGGTGATTCCCCGTGCTGATAAGGGCAGTATTCTGAGACCCCGGGTGTACAAGGAATTCGAGGGCGTCATCAATGAGGTCTATGAACGACTAGAGGGTGACATTGACGAGGACGGGAAGAGACGACTGACCGACGAGGCGGAGGCTAGAACAGCCATTAGAGATATAATCAGCAAGACGGTCGATAGACCGATCGACAACTTAGAAGATGACACCGACCTGTTCGATTTCGGGCTAGACTCGTTGCAGTCTAGCAGAATACGAAACACCATTCAGAGAGTCAGCTCAAACGTTCCCCTCATTGCTGCTTGTAAGCTAAATAACGGCGCAGGAGATCTACCTAGGTGGCAAGAAGCTGTCTGCCAACGCCGTTTTCGAACATCCTTCTATCACGCAGTACGTTCATCCCTTCATGCCATACCTGTATGTAGCCTTGGCTGAGGTAAAATATAGGATTGCTCGACTCCTAGTTGCAACGTCCTCTGGCAATGAAGGTGCTCTGATACAACGAAACCCACTCGAGATCATGTTGGAACTTGTTAAGAAGTACAGCTCTTTCACTTATACACACAAGGCTCACGTCAACGGAACAAATGGAGCTGCGAGTATCTCAGTTACACCTCGCGTTGTGGGTCCACTGTTCTACTTTCCAGTCCTACTTCTGATTGCGATATTGATGTAGGTTGTGTTGACTGGTGCGACTGGGTCTCTGGGAGCATATATTCTGGATGAACTACTTTCGGACCCTTCTGTGGCCACTGTTTACTGTCTGTGCAGAGCAAAGGACGATGCAGATGCGTCCAGTCGCATAACAGCTTCCATGAAGACAAGGAAGCTATCATCTCACTATGAGAAGGTTAAATTACGTGTCAAAGCTCTCGCTTCTGACCTGTCTACCGACAAGCTTGGACTTCAGTCAGACATGTACAATGAGATCGCAACACGGGCGACACTGATCATCCATGTAGGCATCGAAAACACTACTTAGTTAATTCTCATTAATCTTGTGTGCAGAATGCTTGGGCGGTCAACTTCAATCTTGGCATTTCTAGGCAAGTCCACCTCAATTCGATGAAAACCAACTGACAGAGCAATAGCTTCGAACCACACATCCGTGGAGCTGTCAATTTAATTAATCTCGCCCTTGCATCGCCTCATCCACGACCAGCGGACTTTTACTTCGCATCTTCAATCAGTGCTGTCGGAGCTTGGCGTGGACCAGACTCGATCCCAGAAGCCATCACGGACGATCCCTCTGTCGCTCAGGGGTTGGGCTAGTGAGCAGCTCGTACCTCGCGCAGTTGACACTCAGATTTCTGACTTTCGTTAGTGCACAATCGAAGTGGATCACTGAGAAGCTCTGTCAAGTTGCTTCTCAGCAAACACCCATTCGGGCGGGCGTGCTACGTGAGACATGTTCTTTCTCCACGGGGGAATAGTCATTGAAGTGCATGCAGGAATTGGCCAAATGGTGGGAGACTCTCAGAATGGCGTGTGGAACGAGACAGAAGCTATTTCACTCATCATCAAGGTACGAAACCCCGTTATCGATGATATATCTGATTGTCATATTCCGTGGCAGTGCACAGACACAATCGGAATTCTTCCCAACCTTGAAGAGTCAGTTTCGTGGCTCCCAGTGGACTACGCAGCGAAGGCTATCCTCGATCTGGTCAATATTCCCCCTCAACATTTGCCCTTGGGAGAGTGCCCAGTCTGGAATGTGATTCATCCAAAGCTTGTGCCGTGGACGTCCATCCTCTCGTCTCTCCAGAATTCCGGCCTGAAATTTAAAGCGCTCCCGAGGCACGAGTGGATGAAGGCTTTGCGTGCTAGCCCCATTGATGAAGTGAACAACCCAAGCCGGAAGCTGTTGACCTTTTTGAGAACAAGTACGGGCAAGAGGAACTGGCTACGCGGTACCCATTATTGACGGTGGAAACTGAGAAAGCAAGTAAGAGCCTCAGGAGCGCACCTATTGCTGGCGTTGGATTGGTGGGGAAGTGGGTAGCTGCATGGAGAGAGACAGGTTTCTTGGCTTGAAAGCAGTTGGTTCAAACCCCTTAGCTCACTGATATGCCACGACCAGTCGATTATCAGATAGAGATGTTGGACATAGACGCTCAGAATTATACGATCTAACATGGTAGCATATTGTGGCCGTACACAACCTTACACCAAGCTCGACAACATAGCATGCATTGTTCCATGATCACTACCGAATGACTCTAGCGAACATCTCTCCCACAACAGCTGGCCACGTCAAGGAGAAAGGGAGAGAGCGCATCGTCTGTTCATGATGGAGTGCAGAGCAACTTCAGGAGGACTTCGCAACACTCCTCAGCGTCAATGAATTCGGCAGTAGGCAGTGTTATCGGAAGTGCGATCGGGGGCGGTGTTATCGGGGAAGTACGTATGTGGGCCACTTGTCGCAGATGACTTCACAGACCGCAACTGTGCTGAGATCCCCTTCAGCTATGAAGTAACGTGGTCCAGCTCAGGGAGCAGTCATAGAACCCATCGTCTTGTCGAGCGGGGTACCGTGGGCTGCTGTCACACATATATACCGGGGGAAGAGCATGTAAAACGCGCAGGACGGGTATCGAAGTCTTGTTGCGGACCTTGAATTCCATAACAAAACCCTCCTCTTCGAATTTGGATCAGCCATATTTAACGACCACCCCCGGGGCGCTTCGTACGACAGCCTTGTGAGCGCCTCTATAGATGAAGTTGTCCGCTACCAGCTCCCGGAGCCCTACGTGTGACTTGGCAGCCATATTGCAGAAGTTGCAAGAGTATGCTCCATTCCAGGGTATAGAAACGACCGCAAAGAAGGGAACTATTTGGACACTGTCAATAGCCAAAGCGACCTATGTTGAAGGAAACGGGGTAAAAATTGAAGAAACAACTGGAAGAAATGGAGAACGTTAGACATATAGCTTTGATAGCCCGCGCTGTGTTGACCGTACTTGGTGAGTTTGAGTGCAGCATGCTTGGAAACACTGCCTTGAGAGGTTTGTAGGACACCAGGGATGAGGTTGAGGAGTGTCGATTTTCCGGCACCGTTTGCACCGAGGATGGCTACACAAGAGTCCATACTACATACGGGTGAGCTGGACAAGACTTAAGATGGGAAGAAAAGACACTCTATACCGAATGTCAATTTGTGTACAAGTAATCTTCAGGCTTGCCCAAGTATGAGAAGGTAACTTCATCGAATGCAATGAGGGAGTTTGCGAATATCCTCGAAGTGGAAGTGCAGCGGCCGAGTTGTCTCGACTTTTTCGACGGGTCCCGCCGCCTCCATCTTGTTGATAAGTTTTGGTTTCGACTTAGCCTGCTTCACGAGGTTGGCATATGTACCAGCGGAAGCGATGAATCTGACAGCGTTCAGTCAATAGTAAACTGCGAGGAAGAGATAGACGTACTTTTGATGTGGGCTATTTCTTCTTGCTGACGGTGGTATGCCTTCATCTGATTCACCTCATTCTCCTGCTTAGGGCGTACGTGGGTGGTGTAGTTACCAGTGTAGTAGACGAGCTTCTTCATTATCACATCCATGACGTTAGTACAGTTTGCTGCCTGCAGTATAGATCGAGTGATTCGAGTCCATGAAATTGTAAGGATTACCAATCGTCTGACGCCGGAAACTGCCGTTTCAACGCTTACCTTGAGCGCACTGCCAACCTCGGTCAGCACGGACCTCGACTCCCTTTCATCACCTATCCTATCTCTCGTCATTGTCGACCCTCAGCGCTCAGCTCTCATTCTTCGTCACCGTCACCCTATTCTCAGTTCGCCGTGTCTGAATCTGACAAAAACCGCTATGCAACTCTCGTCATTCTGTCAATACCATACTCGTTTATAACGCCATTCACTCAATCGTTTCGTACCCTCTTCCCTTTCAGTCTACCCTGTCAGGCGCGACGCCACTCCCTTCAGGGTCCGATGTCACATAATCGATTCGGCATAGCTATACCCGACCCTTAACGTTTCGCATTATCAAAGTAGCCCATGTACACTCCTTACCACAGGCAATCATAACCACTCATTATCGCACTCGTCATCTAAACAGCATCGCCATATCTATCGTTTATCATCTCAAGACTCGTTTCGATCCTTGTCGCATAACCTTCGTTAAACGCTAATCTAATTCTACAGCTCATTTACATCGCACTAGCGGTCTCCACGTCCCTTCGAACTCGCAGCGAGAGCCACTTTGGTTCTTACAAAATCTTGCGAATGCGAGGTAATAATGAGAATGTGGTTGTATGTTGATAATATGCTTCAAGCCAAATGGCACGCCGAGATCCAAATGGTTCGTCGGGTCATCAAGGATGAGTAGACATGGCTTAACAAAAGGTGCACGTGCAAGGGCAACGCGCATACGCCAACCACCACTCATATCTGAGCCTGGCTGAAGCCAAGACCATGGAGGATACTGCTATCTCTGGTCTTAAATGTATTTGGATCCATCTCCTCGAGTTCCTCGTATGCGGCCTCCACGGCGGCGTCATCAACATCATCTGCGATGCTGGGATTTTTGATGCGTTTTTCGAGTTTCAACCTTTTCGCGAGCGGAGGCCACGATAAAGTCAACGACATTGACATCAGACGGTTCCGCCTCATCACGGAGGAGGTAGATGTGAATGTGTGGTGGAACCCCCAATGTCGCGCTCTGCGATGGATTGGAGGAAGGTAGACTAGGGGGGAAGTGCAAGATAATAAGATGCAGAAGGAATATGAAACTACGCCTTTCCAGACTCATTTCAATAGACCATAGCGCTGTCCGTAGTTTCTGCACCCTCGATGAGCCGCAGACGACCATGGAATGACAATGTATAGGAATCGATTTTAATATCTCTGCCTTTCACGTCTGACACAAGCACTCCCGCTGCACTCCTATAGCCAGATCAGGACCCTCCATCGCGATAGACACCTATCGGTGGCGATCTGGAGCTTGGCCATGGATGTCAGATCATGCATGCTGTTTGCGGCAGAAATGCTGGTAGGTGGAGTATCTGTATGGCACATGCTGCCTGGCACAGAGTCGTTGGGTGTAGACGTCGAAGTTGTGCCACTGTGCTTTGCTGATTACTTTGCGCCCTTTTCTGCGAGCCTCTTCTGCTTTGATGCTGAGGAGGCCTCAGTGGCTTGCCATCAAAGATTTTGCTCCTTCAACGTGACGCGTGGTTGGTTATCATCTCTGGGTAGATTTGTTTTTGAGATGTGGTGATTCCTGCCGCAGGCACTCAGTAGGCCCAGGGTTCATGAATTCGGTGCCACCGCATCCGCTTCTTATGGCATCTTGAGCTGCATAGCGGTCACTGAGCTTGTTGATCCCAGGACCCAGAGACCGCGATCATCGTCGACGAAAGTGCAACTTCCAAATAAGGAAACTCCTGCTCCCTTTACACCAACGGCATGCGCGAGCGCGATGGCAATATACTGCTCCTTGTTAAACTTTCGATGAGTTGCCGTAAGCTGGAGGCAGCGACTGGCAACAAAACACCCGCAGGATACTGTCTCGACGCCAACAGGCGCACTCGGGAAACCTCAAAGAACCCAAAAAAAACTTGCGTAGAACGCATGATGACACAATAGAGTACTTTCCCGTCGTCAGGGAGCTCTTGATCGGAGACGACAAGCGATGCTGGGGGAACAAAGGGAGAAACCCCCGAATTCGACGAACTTGAGGCCATAAACCAGAGCAATCCAATCAGAAAGATATGTGAATACGTTGAGGTGGCGGTAAATGTATGCTTGACGAAGAAGAGCATTGAATAAAAGAAAAGAGACGAGAAAAGGATGACTAAGACCGGGGCCGGGATGATCGAGCAGACGGACAATTAATTTTGACTTACCTATTCTAGGTCCATTGTCCATTGATGCAATTCCCACGTCAAAGGTACCGGTGAGGACATGCCTTCAGGCCATCTGCTGTTTTCCACCGCGCAACATTGAGCTGTAATATATCAGCTGCCCGCTTGTGCTGGGGATCACTTACTGTTGTCCCAAGCGGGTACCACTGCCAAAGCTCGCGGTTGGGGTTGAGTGTTGACATACTCCACGAAAATCTCACTGTTGCGATACTTCAAACTTTGATGGATTTGTACTGTTGCACGCCCCTGTAATGTCATATCCTCTAGTGAAGAAGCGCCAGTACTCACTTTATCGTCCCACATGCGTCTAGGTCTACAAAGGACGAGCGACGTGCGGTGTTGAAGGTTTATGCTCTTGTGGATTGATGCACGCATGTAGTTCAAAGCAGTGCATTCCACACGGAATTACCAGAGTCCACAGATGTATTCCTGTGGTGAAGCAACCACACATTCTTACCTTTGTGTGTCTTCTTTTCGGGGCACAATGCGTGTCCACAGGCGCCTTATCTAGCAACGTCCACATGTTGTGAGTTTAAAAGGCTGACGATGTTCTCTCCTTCACTTCTCTATCTCTCGTCTCTTTACTTTGACACTTCATCTTGTCATCTTAGCCACTTCATATCACCCATTCAAATAATCAATATGTCTATGTAAGTCTACCCACATGTCAACTCGGTATTTCCATATGCTGAGGATGCCTTCCGCGTTTAGTGCTTCATCCAACAGTCTCAAGGTGTCGTCGGATAGGTTGGTGTTCAATACCGAGTCGGATGACGTGCTTTATCTCATAATTTTCTTAGCGGATCTATCCTTCCGTGTTCTCAACCTGAAATCCATCCCGAAGCCATCACTAACATAGTCTCGAGAGATGTCCAAGAGTTTGCTCATAAGTACATGGTTCTACCTCATTCAAAACATCGACTCAAACTGACGGCCTTTGGCAGATCGGTTCAGGCCTGCGAGGAAGATGAACACCTAAAGGCGCTAGTAGAGTATGTGCCACCCCAACCGAGTACCCACCATTACTCATTTATTTCTCCAGGTCTCCGACCTCTTTAAAGGATGTCCAAAACAATCAGCCGTCATTTCCGACGTTGGACAAGTTCACCGCTCCAGTGGCTGGTCTCCCCCAGTTTCCCCCAATGGACCCCAGCCAATGCTATTCTCCGCAGCCGTCTGCCGTCCCTCAAGCGTCGCCGGAAGGCCCCGCAGCGCACTTGCAGACGGAAGTATCTATTCCCTCAGTAACAGAACATGCCGGCTCTGACACGACAAAGTATCTGAGTGGTGGCAGCAGCTTGAAGCCATCTGCTCCCGTTGGGACAGCGTGTGCCAAGCCTCCCAAGTGTAAAACTCGCCATACAGTTAAATCCGAGGGTGACAGTTTGAGTTCGTCTCTCGCGCCACCCACGCGCAAGCGCAGATGCTTGGATGACGACAAGGACGAAATCAGAGAGGGGAAATTTGGTGTTTACAGACTAGCGGACGCCAGTGCCGTAGTCATGGCTGTGCCCGTTCACGACCCGAAGCCGGTAGACGTCAGCCGCCGCAGGACTCATGATGCTTGCAGCAATCTTCTTCGAACGAGGAGCTTTGGGGCGATGGAACTCGATGATTCCTACCCCAACCGGTCCGTTAAGATTACTAATGAACTACCCGCAGAGATGACTTGCGTACGAGCATGCGGTTGGACGGACCAGCCCTGCGGGCTGTTTGTAGAAATGAACAAAGCTCGCATCGCACATCACCTGTTGCATTGGCACGGTGTCAAATCCAAAGACACGGCTCCCTGCAAGTTCGAGGATTGCTGGAAATCAGAGGCAATCATCAATCTGGGCCGTCACATTGAGGGCATCCACTATGCCACGTCATTCGAATGTCCCTACTGCGGCAAGCGGTGGTCGAGAGCTGATTCTTTGGATCGGCATCAGGGGCAATGCACACCGCTCCTTGCTAGCAAGGACCGCGCTACGAAGGGCAATTGCCAGTTTAATCTCCGAGACCCGAAGAAGTTGGTCTATGGGTATATCGTTCCTGCTCGCAACGCGACATATAAGAAACATATAGAAGATACACCAAGCGATAACGAGGAGAGGAAAACACCCTAAGAAGAGGGAATATTCGATGCTAAAAGAGTATCGATAAAGGGAGAAGAGGTTCGCGAAGAATCGGAGAAAGTACTAGAGCACGGGAACAGGAAGTTAGCAGTAGTGACAGATACAGGCCAAGGCGGACGTACAGTCGTACTCTGGACTATTGGATAATACTTATTGCACGCTGGAAGTAGCTGATAATCGTATCTTATCATGCCGGAGTCTGCCCACACAGGGCCCCTCTGGTTCTCCTCAATGTATGCATAAACCTGCGACCAATCTCGGCATACATGTGTCACACCCAAGCCGTTTAAGCCCCATCGATCCATTGATGCAGACCGGCTCAAGGGTAGTATCAGAATTACAAGGAATGGCCTGTCGCAAGAAGTTAAGACAGTGGCCACTATGGTCATTGGGCCCGTCAATAAGGGCTAGCCGGAACATTTGTAGACAATGAATCTGGTGAAACACCCTAATAGGACATGGGAACGGCAAGCGTCTGACTCATGTATTGACAAAAATGGGGTGAATGATTACTTACCATTTGGTCCCAGACGCATGAATCCGTGGCCTTCGGGAAAATGATCGAGCAAATTCCACTCCGACCAGGCCGTGAGCCCTGATGTACTGTAATACTTTGAGTCTTCAAACGTCAAAGCGACGGTCTCCAAGTCGAGGGGTAATTCGATCGGATCAATGTAAGCTGCATCAAATATGCCGAGTGAGACGAACTTATGTGGTTGTCTGTAAAGACAACCCCGACATACTGTACTGTCTATCATCAACATCCTTGTGTTGCAAGCGCAGGATGGTGAAGGTGTTCAAAATGATGCCAATGACGAAAGCACTAGGCGCATTATATCTGAGTCGAAGTTTGACGCTGTGAAGCATTGAATCTGCCTCTAGACGTGCTTTGAGAGAAAAGTTCAGGTCACTGAATATACATATGCTGCAGAAGATAGCTATGAGTATTACATGCTCAACTTACCAGGAACCACTAGTATTGAGAACTATAGCTTGAGCTGTTGCTGGCAGGCACGAAAAATAATGTGTCGGGTCGCTTTGCCTGATGGTGCGCGTCAGGAGAACCCATCTGTGTGAGTTGTACTTGGTTGAACAAACTGCCGGACCTCCGACAACACCGATCTGTTGCCTCGAGTCCTGAACAAAATCTTCCATCTACCTGTGCATCCGATGCTCGCATAATTGGACGAAATAAATGCTGGTGATAAATGGTATTAAGTATGTCCAGGGCCACTACTACAGGGTCACGACGGCGGAGTCACACCTACTTCACGGGTGATTGAATTAGTGTTGATGGCGGAACTCGGGAATTTTACCAAACAGCCGTCGGTCTGATCATTCTAAACTGGATGTCCCTGGTAGATGTAGAACTCGATTGCAGGGAGTATTTGATAGTTCTGCCGTCAGTCCCCTTTGAGGAGTCGGAGTGTCGATCTGTAGGTGAATAGTACTTACCTCTTTAATTCCCGAGTAAAATACTAACCTGGTCTCGTCTTTCTCAATCTCCGACAGCAAGGTCCATGTCATATCCACGGACCAGTATATTCGGGAATGGGAGAGGGCGGCAGATCCTTCTTTCTCATGTCATTAACGAGACTCGGATGATCAATAATCTACTGACAGACGGGCACTTGACAGCACTCGACGCGTCGACTAGTCACTCTACGTATAGACGTGGCGCGGCGGTAATGCATGTCACTGCGTATTTTGGTTTGTTTATACCCACGCACAAATTGGATAGCTCGAAGCGTGTAAGCATAAGCACGGATAAGCATAAATCAGAAGTGTGAGCTCTCCTATTAATGTTAAGCCTTAACAAAACTCGCTATTCTATCTCCATCAGGTCGAAAGCTACGCAAGAGATCAGTCTGGCACTTCAAACTTGTGCTCAATACAGCCGCACTCACCCAGCGGATGGATCAAAAATAATTGCTCGAATTCAAGTTTACAACCATCGCAGGTAACCTCGATGCCAGTAACGGTCCGCACGAGAACCGCGCTGGTATCTTCGACTGCCAGCTTTCTTCGAGTTGTAGCTGCTCGATCTTCTCTTTCTCAGCAATGAATGCAACAGTGCTCATCAGTGCAATTCGTCGGGGTTTTGTGTTCCAGCTGAGCCTCCGATCATCATACCCTCAACAAGAGTGGTAACATTCAAAATTTGAATTTTGGCGAGGGAATTAGATGAGGTATAGAACTCGCTGGCCGCAAGATCATCTTCGGGAGTGAGAACAACGCTGTTGATATAGCAAGAGCTGAATTTGGACGAGTCGGGCTGCCACTGGTTGAACATCGAGTCCTGGAACAATGAAAATGATCTTGGTAAGTTGCTTCAGGTTACGGAGATTCACTTATGCTGTCGCTGAGTATGACGTGCGAGTTTCTTGTCAGGTAAGGCTTTGTTCACCCGTACCATGGCACTTGGAAAGTACATCTTTGGTACTGCTTACACAGGTCTGTTCATGACACAGTGTGAACGATCACGGAATCTGCGCACCCTTTTGCTGTTGCCGAAGGTCACTGACCAATTCCAGACCTAGAAACTGGTTTGGTTTACGCAACTCATGGGCATTATGCTACCCGGAAGCACAGGCAGAGGCGATGGTGTACAATGCATGTGCACAAATAACTGCTAGGACAGAGTGTCCGAGTGCGGCCCAAGCTGGCCATTTAGACAGGGGATCTGCAGTGCAGCGCTCAGAGATGATGTGTTTGCTGGAGGGGAGAATAGCGTCTTCAGAGTCTTCAGGTTGATGTTCTAATCGGGCATTCAGAGAGGCGAAAACGATGACATGAAGGTGCGTGGCATAACTGAGAAATTATCTAGCTTGTCGGCAGCCAGGTACCCACCTACTGGTGATTTGCCAGGTGCTTGACTCAAATGCTCTAGGGCGCGAAACAACAACGACTCCGAGTTGATTCAACAATTATATTCATTGAGGGCTGAATTTTCTATCCTCTGACCATTGAATGGACATCGACTTCATATATCGAGAGCACGTCCAGTACGGTCCGCGCCTACTAAATTCCTCGCAGTGATATGTCCCTGTGTGGTTCTTTTGATCAACTCAGGGAAATGACCTGACAAAATTGTTGAACAGGACCTCCGAGTCACATCTCCACTCTCGCTATGAATCTTGCCACACCCTTCCTTCTGTGTCAGCCAATCAACGAAAGAATGTTTTGCCTAAAACGCAAAAGGAAACAATGCGGACCCCCCTGACAGCAGACTTCCTTGCCTCGTCGCGGCGCATCGAACGAGCAGGTTGTGGGTGGAAGAAAGCTCAGGCTTTTCCTAAGCATACGATATATACACCGAAACGATCATAGGATGAAGGTTTCTGCGAGCAAATCTGCAAGATAATCAAGCTACCCAAAGTTATAAAGGCCTCACTCCTTGCATCAATTATACGCTCAACACCCTCTAACAATCACTACTGCTTGCATCTAACCACCATGAAGCTCACTTTGTCTTTCATTTTTGTCGCCATCGCTTTGCTACAGATGACGGCGGCATCCCCCATCGCCGAAGGTGATTTTTCAGTGCTAGCCTCATTTCACGCAGACTATTGACCTTGTTGAGTGACATAGAGGTCAAGAAGCGCGACCAAAAGAAGTTCGCGCGTATGTTCCAGCGTACTTATCTTATCCGCTGCCATGTCTAACAAGACCATTCAGATCTTGTTGCCAGGGACCCCTCTGACGCCGATGGTGATTCTTCAGTGCTAGCCTCATTTTGTCGTGGACTACTTACCTGGTTGATGACATAGATATCCAGGGGCACCGCCGAAAGAATATCGCGTGTATGTTCCAGCGTGCTTATCTTATCTGCACCACGTCTAACAAGACCATTCAGACTCTGTTGCCGAGGACCTCTCTGATGCCGAAGGTAGTTATCCAGTGCTAGTATCATTTCACGCAGACTATTGACCTTGTTGAGTGACATAGAGGTCGAGAAGCGCGGCCAAAAGAAGTTCGCGTGTATGTTCCAGCGTGCTTATCTTATCCGCACCATGTCTAACATGACCATTTAGATCTTGTTGCCAGGGACCCCTCCGACGCCGATGGTGATTCTTCAGTGCTAGCTTCATTTTGTTGTGGGCTACTCACCTGGTTGATGACATAGATATCCAGGGTCACCGCCGAAAGAATATCGCGTGTATGTTCCAGCGTGCTTATCCTGTCTGCGCCATGTCTAACAAGACCATCCAGATTCTGTTGCCGAGGACCTCTCTGATGCCGAAGGTGATTCTTCAGTGCTAACCTCATTTCATGCAGACTGTTGACCTTGTTGAATGACATAGAGGTCAAGAAGCGCGACCAAAAGAAGTTCGCGTGTACGTTCTAGAGTGCTTATCCTGTACTATGCACATGTTTAACAAGACCATTCAGATCTTGTCACCAGGGACCCCTCTGACGCCGATGGTGATTCTTCAGTGCTAGCCTCATTTTGTCGTGGGCTACTTACCTAGTTGATGACATAGAAATCCAGGGGCACCGCCGAAAGAATATCGCATGTATGTTCCAGCGTGCTTATCCCATCTGCGCCATGTCTAACAAGACCATTCAGACTCTGTTGCCGAGGACTTCTCTGATGCCGTAGGTAATTATCCAGTGATAGCCTCATATTCACGCGGACTACTCACCTGGTTGATAACGTAGATGTCGAGAAGCGCGACAAGAAGACAGCCTCATGTATGTCTCAACGTGTTTGCATTATTTGCATCTTGTCTAACGAGATACGCATTGTGGCACAGACATTGTTGCCGAGGAATCCCGTGATGTCGAAGGTAATTGTCTATGGCTTGGTTTTGAATGTTATATTCACGTTGTTCAATGTATAGGTGTCGTTGAAGGTATGTCTTGAGCATCATCTTGGAGTCTCGACTCTTTTTAAACCATCACCGCCTCTGCAGCCTAAGGCCAGAAGCTCTAGATTATCTCTGTCTGGGACAGCAAGTGCAACTTGCACTTGATATGGTGCAAATTAGTTCAATAACAGGGTATTACTATCGCACAAGCAAATAACCAATTTCCATTGGTCCCTAACTCTCGTTAAGTGTCGAGCACTGCCCTCATCCGCCACTTCTGGTTTGTGATCTGCAAAAGCCAATCCTAAGGTGTTTATGTGCGAAGAAGTTCTCGAGCAGCATTGGCAACATCCTGTCCTCTTTTTGGAGAACAATCGCGGCTTAGGTCCAGCTGACAGGCTGCGAGAAAGAAAAAGGCAGATCGTAAGACAGCTGCGACTTCGGGGTTGATTGTCTATAGACTATGGGTGTAAATATGCTGGAGATTTCGCCGGGAGGCCTGAGGAAGCCTTATCAGCTTAATTAAAAATTACCAAATATAGTAGCTCCCACGCCACCTGGCTCGATGGTCTGGTACTTAGAGGAAGTGAAGCATTGTACAAAAGCAGCGGTGACTAGGTGACGCGCACCATCGTTGTCAGTTGGACTGGTGCTATAATCTGTGAATATGTATAAACAGGTTACGGTCAAAAACTTGGGAACGGTTGGCTGTGTACTTTTCGCTCATCATGACCTGAACAGCTGGGCCTTGCCAGCATCCAAGCTTATAAACCAGTTAAATAACTGATAGGGTTGCTGATTCTACCAACAAGGCCAAGTCTATGGGAAGCTCTCAAAACTTGAGGAAGGAATTCTTCATGACGAAACTTCTCATGCCATGCGTTCCCCCTGGCGCCGATCACGCGCCTGCGACTGACGTCGAAAGCCATGATTCCATGCGGTACAAGATTGCCAGCTCGGCCAGCGGTAGCTCAGCGTCACCGGTCGACACTAGTGTCTCTAGTGACAAGCAGGATGAAGTTAAGGAGACGGAACGGGAAAAGCCAATCCCAGTGATCATCGACTCGGAAACATCTCCTTTAACGCAAACCACCCTCACAGAAGTTGATGTTATCATTTCCCTCATGCCAACCAAGACCTTCCTCCCAAGATTTGAAACAGAGTGGATGACTAGCGGAGCAGTCCAGCCTCCAGGATCGACTGGGACAGACATCTTCTTGCCTTCACAATTATCTCATCGTGACGCATCATACACATCATCGGGGGGTACCAAATCACATGCTGGAGATATCTCATATACAACGACAGATTCTGAAGGCAGCTTCACAGACCTTGAAGAGGGCCATGGAGAAAAGGAGGTGCCTGAAATCAAAGCAGTAGAACCGATGAAGGAGGATGTTCTTATCCTGAATGGAGGTACTGGAATCCCGATAGGGCCCGTGAGCCTGATGTCTTTTCCATAGACTACGGCTGATATCTGTTAATCACCAGGATGGCGAACCACACCCGCTTTTGCCACCAATATCATCCCGACACAAGGGGCGCAAATGTCTCGTTCTTGACCTCGACGAGACCCTTGTTCACAGTAGTTTTGGGGTGAGTATTCCACCCTTAGATTGTATGCTGTTTCTAACACATTCCTTTGGGCCTTCAGTCTCTTCGACATGCGGATTATATTGTACCAGTGGAAATTGAGTGTCTTTGGCACGATGTGAACGTCATCAAGCGTCCGGGTGTGGACGACTTCCTGAAGAAGATGGGCGAAATATATGAGGTGGTGGTATTCACCGCCAGCGTGAGCGAGGTCTGAGGGTGTTGTTCTATGTACCTTAGCGCTGTCATTCATTTTCATTTGCAGTTTGCGGACCCCGTTCTGGATAAGCTGGACATCCATCAAGCAGTGTCGCATCGGCTATTCAGAGAGAGTTGCTATAACCACAATGGGGACTATGTCAAGGTAACGGGCACATCCTTCTTGTGTGTTTGGTCGCTCACTTACTTTTTCTAGGATCTCTCCCAGCTGGGTCGTCCGCTCTCAGGTACCATCATTCTGGACAACTCTCCTGCATCATATACTTTCCACCCCAAGAATGCGGTCCCTGTTTCTTCCTGGTTCAATGACCCACATGACACAGAGCTCACTGATCTTTGTCCTTTCCTTGCGGATCTTGGTGGCGTAAGAGACGTTCGTGGAGTCTTGGATGTCAGTCCGTATGGGTAATGGTGCATTGTGTTTAAGGAAGAAGAAACCAAGAGAGCTGTAAGCTGCGACTGCATTGGCCTCATGATTTTTAATGCGATATTCTCTGGAATATCATATTGACATCTAGTTTTGGGTTGTGATTTTTCCAGTCTTGGGTGCACTCGTACAACGTTGATCGTTACCGGCAATTCTTGCCATCAAGAGCAACTAACCATATTGCGATATAATTTCTACTTGAATAGCTTGTACTATTGTGACATTTTCCTCCCTTATTTTATGGAATCTTTATGTCTGTTTTCACCTTACACGACGATGCCTCTTTCACTCTTGTCCGCACAAAACCACGATCTCTGATGAACTATCATAATGGTAATGTTACTTACTCACAACTGTATCTGCTATATTAGTATATATTGCTTTTCCTCCGTGCGGGACGCGACTGTTTTTCATCATGTGATTATCATAGACTCGCGACGCGTTTGTTGATCCATGTTTGAACTTTGAACATTGAACTGAATTGCATACTCATAGTGGTCATCGTGACATATACCCCGCTTTTGGACGAGAATTAAACATCTCATAGCAGCCGTACCATCAAATCGAACAAGAAATGTCATTCCCCAAGGGTTCACGTTTTGCGGCAGAGAAAAGTGCGTTGCTTGGGTCCTTGTAACGGCGCGTAGTCCATCATTCCAACTCTCGCAGTTTCCAATGTTCCAGGACCAAATATCTACAGCCTGCCAGAAGGTGCGTAGCATAATGAACGCATTTGTATTATTTTTCTCATATCAATGTTACGAGAAGACCAGCTAGACGCGAACAAACGAGGGTCATTGGAGAAAACCGATCGTTTCTCAAAGGAAAAGGCATCCAACTTGAATGTGCCAGGTAAGCTTGACGGTTTCGTAGCAGTATAGCGCTAATATATTTACAGGACCAGGTTCATACAACTCTGTGCCGAGAGCTATGCAAAAAACACTCGCCGCTAAACATACAAGCGACGATCGATATGCAATACTATTAAAGAAACTAGAAGACTTGGAAAAAGTGCATGCTGATGGTAAGAAGGCTGTAAGATGATATTTTTGTCACTTTCCAAACTCTGGGACTCAAACTGTGTTATGCAGCATCAAACCGAAATCGAGCGCTATAAATTTGAAGGCGCTCGCCTTTCGAAGAGCAACCTGGAGCAGGGCGAGAGACTGGACAAGCTCAAGAAACATAACGAAATACTCGAATCGCGAATCCAGGAGTACAAGAAGAACAATACTGCCGATCAAAGCGAGCTGAAGGAGCTACGTGTCAAACTTCGCATGTCCGAACATGAACGCACACAGCTCGTCAGCAAGCTGGGGGAGAGTAGCGAGGCCAAGAAGGCACTGTCAAGTCTCGAGGCAAGGAGGAAAGACGAAGTTCGGGAACGTGAGAGGAAGATCGCAGAATTAGAAAAGGCTGTATCTGCAGAGAGGAAGAAGAGTGATTTGCTGGAAAGCTATGTCAAAGAGGTGAAAGGAAAGGCGGATGAAGAAGCACGGAAATCACACGACATGATGGTGACAATCCAAGGAAAGCTTAACGCAGCTAACAAGGACTCCCAAGATGCACGTCAAGCGCTTACATCTCTGCGAGGGCGAGCCGAGAACCAAGAGAGCGATTTTGCAGCCCGACTAGACCAATGCCGTTCTGTCCTTTCTCGTGTTGCGGAGGAGTACGGCCGCTTGGCCACAACAACCGTTGCTGCATCTAACCATGCCACACTCGCGAAGGACCATACCGCACTTCAATTACGTTCATTCCGATTGGAACGAAAGCTGGCAAATTCAGAAGGTCAAATCGTTGAGCTCGCAAACCTTGTCCGCCACACTCAGGAAGAAAATACGCTTTTGTGTCAAGAACTGTGCGACGCTCAGGAAGAAGCGACTTTCCACTTGCAAACCTTGCAGGAGAACCGAGCTGCCCTCGATAGCTGTTCACATCACACTGGGCTTCATGAACTCCATTGTCTGGAAGGAGACATCCACCAGAACGAAAGAGACATATCTAGAGAAACCATGGCGGTCCAGGAAAGTGCTCTGGCGTGCACTAAAATTATATCCGACTTCTATCGTTCTCACAATGACGAGCTACTTTCAGAGTATGCTTGTCTTCATGGCATTCTCGATAAGCAGCATGAAATTGACCGTGCGCTCATCGACCAACTTGGTCGTAACTCAGTCGAACGGGATGCTATACGGGCCGAGCTCACAAAAGCACAAGTTGAAATCACTACTGGACAACGCGCTCTGGCAGATGCCCAAATATCTCTAACGGAAGGTCTTGCAGAACAACATATGTTGCAGCGTCGAGTGGAAGAAGTCGAGAATAATATACGAGACACGGCAGCGAGTCACAAACAAGCTTTACAGAGGGAGCGCGACACTTCTCAAAAGTTGTCTGTTGCACTCCACATCAGCAAAACAGCCGAGGACGCTCTCAAGGTTGATATCGAGCAGTATGTATCCCGCCGCCTGTACCCAAACTACGGATAACTGACCAGAGAAACCTACACAGGCTGCAGGCAGAGTTGGCAGATTTGTCACGTTTCCAGGAAGCATACTATAACTTGGTGGACGAGACTGAAGCACTAGTGGCGAGAAACAACCTCGCAGAGGAAGAGGCCGAAAGTCTCAGCAAATTTAATGCTGAGATTCTTGGCCATAACAATCCTGTGCAGAGGATTTTATACGTGGACAGGATTCGCCAGGAGCTCTCCGAGGTCAAACAAGTAAGCATCTTCATCGTCTCGGCTCTTCCTTGACTCACAGCTACCAGAAACTACTCGTGTGTACCCGCGACCGGGATGCCATATCTGCAGCGAACGAAGATTTACTACATGAAATCATGATGTACAAATCCGTCGCGGTACCAGAAGATAACAAGCCTCGGACGAATTTGACCCGTGTGACACGACCTCCCCTCACGAGCCCGAGCATAAATATCGTGGCAGCGACTCCTATCCCGCCTTGTGTTTCGTCAGACGTTTTAGAACATATACCAGGAGATATGACTTTGGATGAACTGATATAAGAGTACGAGATATGTTTGCACCATGTAATCTATCTACTATATGTATATAAGTGATACCGGTAAATGCTCGTCTCGAGCCCAACAAGTATTAATATTCATCCAGCAACCCCCGCGGTATATTTATTCACAACAGCCAGTACATCATGTAAAGTATGTAGTACAGCAAGATATCGTGTCGAACTCGAATATAATAGTCTCCTCATCGTCATCAATAATCACATGGACGCGAGGATGCTTATCCTTGACTGTCTCCTCTTTCGCCATCATGAATTGCCATGCACTGAGCCATGACATCCAGATCACTCATGAAACTGGCTATTCAAATGATTATTTTCTCGGACGAGCTGCATGCTCAAAGGCAGGCGAGGAGTTTCGCCATCTCCTGCAGGTGCCTTGACTACTGGAGTGTGGAAACCGCTCATTTTCCAGTATATCTCCTTCACATTCCCGTTGTCGTCGGGTTCTGACGGCAAGGCAAAGTGAATGGCTGGTAGAAGAGTGGTCAATACGTCCTCTGAAACGCAAGTTCTTCAGTGCAAGGATCTAACGACCGATAAGTCAGATATCTCACTTATTTCCATTTCAGCAAACTTCAAGCCTCTGTGGGGGTCAGCGTATAGTGAGAATATATTCAGGTTCAGGAAATTTGGCATCGTACATGCAAGAACGATTGCCTGCAAGGAAGGTCATCCTGAAGGTCATTTAGCGAGACGCATGCAACAAAACGACTTCTTGCGACACACATAGATGAATAGACGCCAGGATATTTCACTGCGTCCTTGTCCCCAGGTGTGACCCCTAAAAGAATCTCGGTGAATAACTACATCTTGTGGCGTGCACAAAATGTAACCTTGAGAAGATTTGAGCCATCTATCGGGTTTCCATTCTGATGCATCTTCGCCCCAGACAGCTTGGTTATGATTCGCAGCAAGGATGGATATGACGAGTCTCTGGTTTTTAGCCACATGGACTGCATCAATCTCTTCGCCAGATGCAGACCGAACAGGGAATTGTAATGGGACTGATGCTGCTTCTGTAGTTCTTCGGAGGGGTCAGCAGGCGCCATCTTTCGTCAATAAACTAACCTTCGAGTGAGAACAGGTAACGATGGATAGAGCCTTAATGTCTCTCGAACAACTGCGTTTAGTAAAGGAAGGTTCATTAATACATCATATGGCAGTCTGACGCCACTGTCATCTTTGGCGTGGGAATGGTCGACGTCAGGAATTTGATATGCAGCCATGGCACCACAAATTTCGGTCCTCAGTTGTTTCTGGATATCAGGGTGCTTGGCAAGCAGGTACAGTGCACGAGCCACTGCTACCGTCGTCGTCTCGAGACCAGCAAAAATCATAACGCTGTTCAATTGAGGAATGAGATTTAGACGCAAGGGAGCAATTAAAACCGACTTCATTTGTCCCAAAAGCTCGGTATCACTTAGTCTATCTGCCTCGGAAGATGAGGCGTTTGCCTTGACTGTACGTGTCCCACGTGAGAATGGATACTCCATTGCGAATAATTACGCACGCATGATAGACATCATATCTTTCTCCCTTGTTCCTCCCAACATGTCGTGGGTCTGTAATAGGGAAGGGGGTAGCTGCAGCGCGGCCTTTTTCTCTTGCAAGATGGCTTTACTGGCCGAGTCCATGATTTCGACTATGCGACGTAGCTCTCTAAAATTCTTCGTGGTCTGGGTCGGCAACCAACTTATCGTGAGCCAGTCTACTATCTTTTTGCCCCAGTAAAGAGAGCAATTGCGCATGACTATCGGAACGAAAGGTCGAAATATCATGGTTTTAGTGATGGATGGACTGTGAGACAGAGCATGTTAAAGGATGATTTTTTCACTAGCAGATTAGCCTACACACCTTAACATCCGTAAAGCGTCTGTGTACTCGTCCTCGTTTCCTGTGTCTAGTGCAGCTGAATGGTAGCCCAGCACGCCCTCGCAAATACAATCCAGAGAACTGCGAGAGAGCCAGGGTAGCATATCGAGTTCTACGGACTCTCTGTATCGTGCATGATCATGCTCACTGCAGGCAGAAAGATTTGACACGAGGATGGATTTTAGCTGATGGGAAATGGTTTGAATAACGGCCAGGAGCTCCCGCATATTGGAGGTAGAGAACACTGGGTTTAGCATTTTGCGCTGCTTTCGGTGCTGTTCCCCTGTACAGCAATGAAAAAAATCTATGACGATTACCAACAGGATTTACCTAGCGTCGAAATGAGACCATCGCCGAAGATGAGCTTATTGCAACTCGAGAAGGATCAACGAAGAACGTTCGAGCAATACTTCACACTTACAATAAAAAGCCGTCATTTTCCTCAAAGATATGTTGCTCCTTGACAAGGATATGATGGAGCGCGCGTGGGTCTGATACATACAACCATTCCTCCTGGGGGCTTCACATCAATAGTCATGTCTTATGCAGAGTAATGCATAACACGCACACCAAACAATGCATGGATCTTAACAGCTCCACCATAATATGCAGCAACATCTAAGCAACGTTGGAAACCGTCCACAAACATCGACTCCATGTTGCCTGCATCGACGAACGTGAATATCCGATATGTCACTGGACTGACCGCCAGAGAAAGCTGACCTTTCCACCAGTGTTCTTTTGCTGGGCCTGCAACATCTAAGGCGTTTGCCTTTCTGGAGGCACGTCTCTGAACGAGCTTCCATACTACAAGAGTGAGCACACCGTATCCAATAAGTTGAGGGAAGGTCATCTGGTAAGGTCAGTATGTAGTCCTACTACCACTACACGGCCACTGAGTGCGACACTGGTTGCCGCAATAATGGAAAATCGTCGAGGAGAGCTTGCAATATAAGTAGTCGAGAGACCTGGATTCTTCGAGCCTACTCGGAGCAAAAGTCGGCTCATTGCCCGGTTTACTGCTACACTCCAGCCCAGCGACTCGGACCATGACGTTTCGAGGGTGGGCTCCCTGTGTGCTTCAGTCAAGCTTGATATCGTTACAGTTACGGTAACTTTTAGCTTTGTGTGTTCTGTTGCCTGAGGACAGCCCAGACTGGTTGCGAGTCCACCGAGCTTCCCCGGCAGTAACCTTGGCCCACTAGGCTATGAGTACTACATACTACTGTAACTACATAAGGCTAGTGTCGTGTCTCTTTTTCGCACAGCATCGAAGGTATATATATACTACTATTCCTTCTGATGCAATCAGCACCTCACAGAAGTTGGCACAAAGGTACTAGTAGAGCTGATCACGGCGAAATTGAAGGCCGCCTACTTACGCATTGTCAAAAGCGGGGGTCCTGGGCGCGTCTGGCGGGCGAGGTCGCGGTGATCGAAGAGTCGGGACGCGAACGGAAAATTCTGGGGACAATGATAAGCTGTCGAAGCTTTTGGGCGGTAGGAGCATGCTGCAGAGGACGATGTTCCGCTATTGTGCGGAGTGCTGCTGCGTGTTGCTTGCTGAGCTGTGTGGGATTCGTGCCGTTCTCCGCGAGACTTTGATGCCTCCAGTTTCACACCTGGAAATATTACATATATCTTGAGCTGGGCCACTGACTGGCCAACAGATACTTACTTATTGGCCAAGGTTCGAGAATCGACAGACATTTCCCCCCCATTATTTACGCGGTCGGAGTCAAGTCGGAGTATTGACGTGCGCGCTGTGAGATGATCCGAGTACATAGTTAAACACAGCCGGTCACGGCAGATCTAACACTGGCACAGCTCTCTTTCAAATAACTTCAATCTTCCTCGACAACGGTGATGCAGTGTGCACCTCCATGACTTACCCTGACGCATTCATCTCCCTCCAGCTCGTTCTCCATATTATATTATCCTGCATCCTCAGTTTTGCTGTCGCGCAGAACCCAGTCGATGCGTATGCTCCGACAGTCAACGTGAATTGTTCAGAGACACCTAACTCACTCGTGCGAACCTTCACGCCACAGAATCAGGTCCTGAACACATCAGAAACGGAGTATATTACGTCTAGGGAGTCCTATGTAATCTCAAATGCATGGTCCAACTGGCTTGGCAATGCGTCAGATATTGGATACAGCCTCGAAAATTTGGAGGGCGAATTTCCCCGAATTGGTATTGCCATCGGAGGCGAGGGATACCGCACGGCACAATATGGTGCAGCAGTATTATCAGGGTTGGATTGGAGAAACACCACCGCCAGAAACGGAGGTACCGGAGGACTGCTGCAAGTCGCGTCTTACCTCTCGGCTTCATCTGGTAAGTGTTCTATTGGACCAACGCTCGTTACGAGCTTTGATGATACTGACCACCGGTATCTTAGGTGGTTCGTGGCTGCTTGGGTCACTTTTGATGAATGATTGGCCGTCAATCGAAGAACTGGTTTACGGGAATGGAGGAAATCTTTCGTCATGGATGTTAGACCTTGACTTAATTGTGCCATCGTCGGCATTAGTCAGCGATAGCAATGACCAAGAGTATTGGGGTAGTATCCTGGCGAGTGTTGAATCAAAGGCAAATAGTGGACTGTACGTTTCTTCCTGGGAGCATTGCACATCTATTGTCAAGCTGACCTCTCTGCCTTTTCAGTCCTACTAGTGTGACTGACCTATGGGGTCGGATGATTTCATATCACTTCTTGAACGAAACAACGCAAGGCAACTTCTATACCAATCAGACTAGCCACGGCGCTGGTCAACTATGGTCTCAAATGCCTCTCCTGCCGAGTTTTCAAAATTACACAATGCCATTCCCGATAGTAACCGCAGACTCGCGGCCAGCGAGTTCAGGGATAACCACCATTGTGCCTCTGAATTCAACTGTTTATGAGGTCAGTACTTAGCTTATAAGCATAGGAACGCATCTAGACATAAATGGTGTAGATTACACCTTTTGAATTTGGGTCGTGGGATCCGGGCCTTTCAGCGATGCTACCACTGAAGTTTGCTGGGACTTATTTGACAAACGGTCTGCCGGTTAACCAATCAGCTTGCATTACTGGTTTCGATCAGGCAAGCTTTATTATGGGTACAAGTTCCAGTTTCTTCAATGTATGTCATGTTATTACCTGAGAATTCCTCTGGCCTCGACCTAACTTACTGTTGCAGGCGGTCTTGAATGTTACCGACGGGGACTTTGGGTTCGATACCTCCGATGGAGATGAAGGCGGCATGAACTTTATTTTCAATCAGTTGTTGTCGCATACCCCGTCCAATGTCATGAATGCGGCCAATTGGCCTAACGTTCGTATTTTCATTTGACTTACAGCACCCACCTGACAGCATCTATAGCCATTCAAAGGTGTCAGTTCAGTGACTTTTCAAGACTCGTCTGCAGACCAGCTCGAACTCCTTGACGGAGGTTCAAACCTTGAGAAAACTCCCCTCAGCAGCCTACTTGTTAATGCTCGTGGACTGGATGTAGTGGTCGTCATAGACGGTAGTGCGGATGATCAAAACTATTGGCCAAAGTGAGTACCTGTCGGCAATCTACGATTAATAAATACTAACTCCTGCCAGTGGTACATCACTGCTAACTACTTTCGAGCGGATATCATCAGTGCTTTCATCTTCACATCAACCGATGCCGCCCATACCTGGAACTGCTGCCCAGTTTGTTTCCACAGGCGTTAATATGCGCCCAACGTTTTTTGGCTGTAATCTCACTCAGGGTCAACCAGCTTACCCCATCATCATATATCTTCCTAATGCGCCTCCGCTGGATGGAAGCGCGCCAGCTACGAAGTACGCCACGTGTCTTGCATAGTCCAAAGATAATACTGATATCATTTTGCAGCACTGGTGATACACAATTTTCCTACACATCCTTGTTCACGGCCGTGTTCATAAACCAAGCGTTCGAGAATACGTTAGGTGGTTTCGAACCAAACACAACTTCTTCGGATCCGCTTTGGGGACAATGCTTGCAATGTGCCGCAATTGATCGCGCAGTTACTCTACGATCAGATTTCTGCTCGCAATGCTTTACGCAGTATTGTTACAATCCAAACGATCCCCCAAGCGAATCGGAACTCCCAGGCAGACAGTTTGTATTCGTGGATCCTGATCCGGGCGGTCTGCAGAAAGTGGAAGAATGGTTAACAGACAATAAGGGTGCATTGGCAGGTTTCATCGTTGCCATCATAGTAGCTATTGCAGGGATTGTCGGTTTCATGTGAGTGATCATACTGTTATCTGAACCTGATGACTCAGTGATTGCATGTAGTTTCTGGTGGCGGAAGAGGAGAGCACGCAAGTCTAGGTATTCTCGTGTCGACGAGCTTCGAGAGGACGACGAACCTTGGAGGTATTACGATACTCGCTCGTTGGAATTGACGCCTCAAATGTCGATAACATGATCCCCTGGTACGATCTCAACTGTCAGATTGCAGTTGAGATTGTCACTGCACGTCTTTCCTGTATTATATACTATACTTCATGTTGTACTACGGGACATTGGTGACTATTATGTTGGACTCGGACTGCTATCACTAGTACTGTTGTCATTATATACCTCGGAGTCACTAATATAGACATAGACATGCTCGAACTAGACGAAGGCCGAGCTTCACTGGCAGCAACCTCGTCCCACAAGTACTAATGTCGCGTACTATCATTTGCAGAATGCATCAAAAGTATACTAATTGTATATCATCAGCGGTATCCCTTGGAAAGTAGCGAGCCGGGGCAACAATCTAGAAAATTCGCTGTCGGACAATGTGCTACATGTGTGATGAGAATGAGCGTATTTCAATAGACATGATCTGACAAATGATTGAGATGGATATAACTTTCAGAAAGCACAACTTAGAGGATTGGATTTACCAGTAGTCGCAAGATGCTTGGGCACCGTAATAATCTCGGGCCTTTCCTTTGAGGCGAAATTGAGAGTGATATACGGGAATAACTTACAGTGAATGACAGTCTATGACAGTGAACAAGCTTATCAGATGGAATCAACGCTTACAGCATATGAATGGTGTTTTAGTTCTCGGCATCGCATTCTCGTTCTCGAACGCCCATAAGTTATAGATGATAACTAGAAAACTTTCTGAGGAAAAGCTGAAGCCATTGCGGGGCATGAAAGCGGATTCCATTTCATGGACAAACTATCACATAAAAAAGAGGTTTCGGCGCAATGACCGGGCCTACTAAGTTAAGATGGACCTCCAAGGATTTATACACCGCAAAAATCTTGTCAGCAGGTTTCGAACCAACTGCAAGAGAAACAGATTTTGACTCTGTTGTGGTAAGTAGCCACTTGGCTAAGAACAATTAATGGACCTGTGAGGAAATCATCCATGAGTCAATGTCAAGGTGTGTTCCGATAGAAAAAGACCTGTCATTCGGGAGGTTTCGAACCTACACAATTGAAGAGAAACAGATTTTGATTCTGTTGTGGCAACCTCTTAGCTAACACCAGTTAAGATGAACATCCGAAGAAACCATCCATAAGTGAATGTCGAAGTTTGTTCTGATGGGGAAAAAAACTTCGTTGTCGGCAGGTTTGACAGATTTTGATTCTGTGGTGGAAACTGTGACCACCTGGCTATAAGACCAGTTCAAAAGATGGACTTCCAGGGAAACCATGAATATTAATCTTCAAGGTGTGTTCCGATAAAAACACACCTTGTTTCATCGGCAGGTTTCGAACCTTGCACCGACCGTGACAGTCCAAGAGACAGATTTAGATTCTGTTGTGTAACCACTTTGGCCAGGACGAAGTTGATATAAACGTCCAAAGAAACCATCCATGAGCGAATCTTCAAGGCGTGTTCCGATAATAAAAAACTTGTTGATCGGCACGTTTCGAACCTGCACAGTCCAAGAGAAACAGATTTCAATTCTGTTGTGGCAACCACTTAGCTAAGACCAGTTAGTTGAACACTCCATTGAACTTATCCACACCCACGTTGGCTCACAAGTGCTTTTTGCATATCAATATTCATCTATTGGCCACCACGCATTTTATCATGTCCTACCAGTACTTGGTTGCCTTTTCAACGTTGTCATTCCGTTATGCTGTCGCCGAGAGTCGCTCCTTGAAGGTGTATAATTACACCACTGATCAACGTCACGGTGAGGCAACTTCTGCTTAACATAAATTACAAACTACCTCGAGCTATAAATCGCGGGGACTATCTCCAACAACCGACTTTACAACTAGGACACCAGCTTGAAATTCGTGAGATATGCCAGTGAGGATCAAACAAAGATTACATAGAACCTTCCGAAGACGCGAGCCCTTACTCTGCGCCTACAACAACGGCTTGGAGCCCATTATGTGGAGAAATAGCGGACGCACCTTGAACATTCTGAGCCTTGATGTCACGAGATAAATCGATGGTGGCTGGCGTACTAGTGGTACCTTTATAAATGCAGGGTTTCTCCTTCTTGCCATCCTGAGTCCTTACCATTGTGTTTGCCTGTGAAATAGGCAAACCATCAGCATAGTGACCTATGGTGACCACACGCAAATTGAGATGCAATAGTCATTCTCAAAGTTGAAGTGCGTTTTGACCCCATAGTTCAACAAGGACCTGATAATGATGTTATCCACTTAGGCGGAACAAGATCTGAACATGGTTTCATAAGCATACTTATAGTGAAGCTATGAAACACCTTCAAGCGAGTTTCTTTCCACATAAAATTCCATTAGCTCGCCGCCGGTATCAGCCTCCCCGAGAGTTTGCTTATATCTCGTTGAATTTTCTCTTTTCTTTCGCGTCCTCCGACTCATCATCGGGTACATTGCACTTAACCCTGTAAAGACAGCAGCGAGAGAAGTTGGAACTTGCGCCTCGAGCAATGACCGAACTCGTACACAAATTACCAGTCGCCGAGGACCATCGCCATTACCGCTGCACGGCCCGTGTCACAAGAGTACCCATTCTGAAAGGCCCGCAGCACGAATGAAGAAGAAAAAAAAGTAAAATACCTGTAACGGCCGCCATGCCTTACAACAGTCAGCACTTTGACCAGATGGTTATGCTGTCGGTACTGAGAGTACTTACATTCTTTCGGATATGCAGGTTTCCGCGGCATCGTATTATTTTGATATAGCGGGACGCTTTGCAGCAGGTGTGGTGTACCAATTTGCTGTCACACAATACGCTGATACTCAGTTGGGGTAGTGGTCTATTTATCAATGTGCCGACAATTAGCATCTAACTGTGGTAGCAACGTGCTTTAATCGTACGCTTCTACAAGTTCCCCCCTGTGCTAGCCACCCTCGTAATTGATCCACAGATGCGGTGGCACAGTTTGACCACCGCGATTACGTTGTGGGTGCTTTGAGACAATCAGAAATTGGCGCGTCCACAACTCATTGATGTATTGTGGTCCTACCAGATAACTCTTAAGTAGTACGTCCACCCAATCCATCCTTCGCATCGTTTCCCCTTTTCCCTCATAACTGGTCATTATCATGTTGCCCAGTGATCACCCCCGGCTAGGCCCAAAGGTCATTCTGAAGTTGATCACTCCTTCATCTCTATCAGCACCTCAATTATCGATTGCTTTGCCCGACGTGCCCGGCATCATGCCTTTCCCCATTCCCATCCCTAAGATCGTGGGGGATGTCAACGCGGCGGATCTGACTTCAGGTCTCCCTGATTTTCTGTGCCCTTCTCACTTGGAGCCGGTCGACCTTCCAGCCCCCATTCACGCCATCACACTTCCAGGCACAGCAGAGGTGGACACCCCGCGAATCCCTCTGCTGTCATACGTGAACGGTCCCTTTCGTGTTTGGCGCCAATTGTCAACGGGAGCTTTTGCCAGGGCTATAGGAGCTGAGGATATAGCATCAGGTCGCCTGCTGTGTCTCAAGGTTTTCAGCAAGGACCGACTTAAGCACAATGAAACAGAAGAGGGTCTTCTGACCGAGTTGGAAGTATACAAGCGTCTTGCATCATCGAGGGAGTGTTGTCCTGCAACGATATTCCTGATGGAATTAGAGATGTCCTTTCAGACAAAGAAAAGAATTTGTTTCGTTATGGTACGTGCTTCTCCCCTGTGTGCCATTTGAGCTGTTTGAATCCATTGCGAATCCCTAGGATTTAATGACGAATGATTTGCTGCATTATATGGAACATCAGTCCGCATGCTGCGTCCAGAATGCTCGCAGGTGGAGCGCACAACTGGTAAGTAGGTGTCATTCCTGGTTTTCGATGCCTCACCGCTCCGACTTTGTAGGCGCTTGGTATAAACGCTCTGCATAATATGGGCATCATCCATCGCGATATAAAAGCAGAAAATGTTCTCATCGATATACAACAGAACGTGCGTATTGCTGACTTCGGGCTCAGTTATATCGACGGGGAGCCAAAGCCCCTGCATTCGTGGCGGGATTATACATCAGACGTAAAGGGAACTACCAATTGTATGGCGCCTGAAATCCTGCGCAACATAAAAAACCCAGATTCTATGAGGTACGGGCCGCCCGTGGACTGGTGGTCGTTCGGATGTGTCCTGTACGAGCTTATTTCGCCGGGTCATCAGGCACGTGTTCCGTCCCGCTTAGTCGCCGTCTTACTGATATCACCCCGCCAGGAGCTCTTTGATTCGGAGGACGCCATAATGGAGTATGTTTCTTGGCGCTCCAAACATTACGGACCATGCGACTTGTTCCCTGCGTTTCATCAGCTTGATTCACTTATCGCTGATTTAGTTGTAGGAGTAAGCTTTGTATGGTTTATGTCATAACGCTATCACTTACCTATACCATGATAGTTGTTCAATCCCCTTGCCATATTACGGTATGGGTTCCAACAGGTTACAAATCACCGGTATTTCTCGAACGATGATGGCACGTCGGAATTCCACGACGCCTGCTCTCGCGGTAGGTTAAATTTGTCTTGTTTGCAGTGAACATCTTACTCAAAAATTATTACAGCTCTCCAGCGCGAAAAACAGCCAGAGATGTTGCCAAAATTGTGGGATGGGCAGACTCGATCAGCAAAGATCTTGTGCGCCCCACGTTTCGAGCGGTCGACTTACACTTTAAATGTGGATTGGAGGAAGCCCAGGCCGTGAATTGTTTCTTTCTTAGGATTCCAGTTTGTGATTATTTTCGTTGCGAATTTCTCCATGTCAAGCTCTTAATATCTTGCTACAAATAATTGCAGAACTCGCATTATTCTATACACCTCAACACCTGTAGTTCCCATATTTTTGTTTACATACTCATCTGTCACACTCTTCCTTCCATTGTTCGTTTCTTATCACAAGGGATTGTAATGAACTTGTGTATACCGAAGGTTTCACTCTATAATGATAGCTGATTCGGAAGATTGACTAAGGTACACAAGGAAAGCCGGGCGCCCACGATGTTGCTAGAGTACGATGCTTGACTCAAGTTGTATCCACAGAAGATGTGTTGACCGTAGCCAAAGCACCCATATGTTGCACGATTTAATATTTGCATCTGACGACGCGGAACTGGTAACCTTTTCTGTCTCTAATTATTCGTCACAAACTCATCTTCTGGGAAGCCTCACAGGATTTCGGACTAAGAACATTCATTACCCCACATTACTGATCACGATAATCACCGACGATATAGTCGGCGTTTGTGCTATCTTTGATCCATTCGCCGACTCACGTACCACCACTGGTCCAAAGTTGCCACCGGCCGTGTTAGATGCGCACTTTTGATGAAGATGAGCCGATGTAAAACTAATCCAGGATAAACCGTTTATCTTCGTGCCAGCTGTTTAGCCTCTACTAACCCGGCTGAGCATTTTCGTCAGTAACTATGCGGTGGTGATCATCGATCAGGTTTTGCGCTGGGTTCATAAACACGTCGAGGTGGTCTGCATTCAAGTTGGGAACTGATCCTACAGACCAATTATGCTCGATCCTTTACTGTGAGGGTTTTGGTAGGTCTTGACCAAGTATTCGTTGTGATCTGCGTCTGCGAGGAAAAGATCCCCATCTGCGATTGTATTAAAGGTAAATTGTTCTTGTAGAGAGCACTGTTCCGAAACCTGTTTAACAGTGAGCGTCAAACCTGAACCATGTCATGCTTGAGCTCCGTCCCTCAGGAACCATAGACGCTCTAGAATAGGGGTGTGGTCGTCAAAGTCGGTATTCAGGATAGGGAGATGTTCACCACCGAGCTCGACGGCGTACTGAAGTTGTGACATGTCTGGCGAAGCAAGCCTAATAGCCTATGTCCAGTAAAATAGTAAAAAGAGTCCATCTGTATAACTACAACATCAAAACTCATTGGTCAATTGTGACTTACGGATATACAACGTACGAAGAATATCATGCCAAGGAAGGATGCTCGAAATGTTAGCATCCTGCATCAACTCTGCTTTCGGCTTGCTATAGTTTGATTCAAATCATCATCCCGACTCTTCAGGGTCAACGATGATCGATCGACGATCAACAAACGCGTCGCGAGTCCTCACGTGATGAAAACGAGTCGCGTACCACGAGCAGAGGAAATATAATATAGAATCGTGAATATGTAACAGCATCATAGAAGTTCGTCATGATATCGTGATTTTGTGTATAAGGGAGATAGAATGAAAGCTCGAGAGAGAAAAGAAAGAAGAGGAAGGAAGGAAAGTAGTGCGTCGCCGAGTGCAATAAACATTCAATAAAACAAGGAAAATGCTAAGCTACAGCGACGCGAGTAAAAAGATGAGGTGTATGTGTCGCAATACTTTTAGTCGCAAGATGGAGATTGCCAGTGACGATCGACGTGTATAAATGCATCCATGAATGGGAGAAAAACTGCCTGGAGATGGTCAGATACTTGGTCGAGGACTGAGGTCAACATAGGGACGCACCATGAAGGCATGCGACCATACCGCAGAGGAGTGGATGGGAAGAGTGCGAGGAAATGCGAGAGTAGCTGCTTCATATAGAACCAGCCACACTAAAGCAAGAAGTAATAGAACGAAGCAATAATGTCAAATTTTAACACAAAAGCGATTACGTAGAAGAGTTTCGATGCGAGAACATACGTGGAGTGAGATGGAAGACAAAGGGGTATCGTCATCAAAGTTTTGCCAATACATTTGGGCCTTGAAAGTCATGTTAGATATGTGGGGTATATCGGGCATGGGAGAGTGTAACAGATGCAGAATGGGTGAAGGGTCATGATGAGGGCAATGCGGAGAGGGCGGAAAGAGACAAAATCGCATAATCGGCCAAAGGCGCCATCGAGACGTAGCAAGGATGCGATAGAACATGTGGGGTAGTGCACAACATTGGGATATGAAGTGCGTTGCATTGACCTGTAATAAAAACAGGAGAGCCTGACCAGCATCACAACACTCAGAGAATTTGTGCTCGCGAGCCTACAGCTCTCCCGTAATGTTCCTCTTCCTCGTATCCCATGTACCCACTACCCCTACAGACCGCCATCCAAGACGCCCCGAACATCTCTCACTTCGGCAAGGTCCGCAAGGAAAGGACAAAGATCGGTGAGTTCTGTGTCATGTGGGTCATTGAACCACGATGAAACAGGGACCGCATTGTTGGGATGAAAGATGTACGATGCTGGAGAGTTGTCCAGAATGATGGTATCTGCAATAGGACGGCCCAATTGGGAGAGATCCTATATAGAGCAAGTTAGCGACGAGACATACAGGAAAGCCTCTATCACCTTGACATAGTTCCCCTTGTGATTGTAACAACTCTCTCTGAATAGTCGATGCGACACTACTTGATGGATGTCCAGTTTATCTAGAACTGGGTCTGCATACTACACACAATAAAAATCAGTCGACAATATCGAAGCAATAAAAATAACACCCTCGGACCTTGCTTAAGCTAGCGGTAAAGACCACCACCTCGTAAATTTCGCCCATCTTCTTCAGGAAATTGTCGACCCCCGGGCGCTTGATCACGTATACATTGTGCCAATGGTATTCGATTTCCACTGGAACAACGTAATCCGCGTGTTGAATGGACTGTAGAGCGGCCGAAAAAAACGTGTTAGAAGCGGCACTAGATCGAGAAGCCGAATAAATCCACCTTGAAACTGCTGTGTACAAGGGTCTCGTCCAAGTCGAGAACGAGACACTTGCGCCCCACGTGGTGGGGTGCCATCGGCGGCAGGAGCGGGCGCAGTTCGCCATCCTTATTTTGGAACCGAATTAGTGGTTAGTGTCACCAAAAAGTTTTTGGAAAAGCTTACGGGTCCTATCGGAATACCTGCACCTCCACTGAGAATCAAAGCATCTTCGTCGTCTTCCTCCATCGGTTCCACGTCTTCTACTTCGGGCTCCTCCGATTCTCCGTGACCCTCCTCGTCCGTAAAGCTACCTTCTGAATCGGTTGCTGTACGCGAGGTGTCTCCAGCATGCGATGGAGTACCCACAGATGGTGTGTGTGATACATCTACAGGAGTTGATAGTGAGGGTGAGAAAATGTCTGCACCAGTCGATCCTGGAGGTTGGACTGCTCCGCTGGTCATCCCCTCTGTTTCGGATATTGGGAGGAGAGCCTTGGTTGGCGTGGGGGGTACAATAATTTCGATTTCTGCGGGGTCGGGTTCCGCTGCAGTAGGGGATACCTCTACTACAAGATTTGGCTTTTCCCGTTCCTGCTCCTTAACTTCAACCTGCTTTTCACTGGGCACACTGGTATCGGGTACGGGCGCTGGAGCACCGTTGACCGTGTCAGTGGCCTTGTGTCGCGTAGCGTCGTCGACATCGACTTCAATCACATGTGTACGATCGTTGGGAGCGACACATGGCACGAGTTTGCGCACGAGTTTGACGATGAATGATTCCTTCTTCTGAGAACCTCCGACAGACTTGTTTTCCTCTCTAGAATGATTATTGGAAACAGCCCTCCCTTGTGCAGAGCTAGACGAAGCAGTTGAAGATTTAGTAGTTTTTGATGCAGGTTTGACCTTTCTGGAAAATCTACGAGCGGTGCTAGAGGTAGCACTGGTAGAATTTGTGTTCGGGTGAGTCTGGGTTGTTGTAGCTAAAGAACCCTTGTCCTTGTCTTTCTCGCTAGGCTTCACGTTTTCGCGTTCGCCTGGTAAAACGAAAGTGGAAACGGTGTTAGAAGGGTTTGGGTTGACATCCTTGTCCGCTTCCGAAGACGATGTGGGTGACTGTTCGTGCGCTTGCGCACTGGTGTCTACGCTTGTAGAGCCATTCCCGATGGCTTGCGTCTGAGAAACTACTTGAGACGCCTGCTCGCGCGTCTGAACGTCCTTGTCGTCCGCTGGTGGCGAGTCTTGGGATGCCATGGGATGGAAAGCTAGAACAAGCTGTAAAAATAATTGGTAACTTTTCAAACCGAATAACAGTAATGATGCTTGCGGTATTGAAGAAGCTTTTGGGTATGTATGTGGGGAAAAGGAAAGAGAGGAAGGATGAAGGACGAGGCAGAAGGCGGCAAAGCAACACACCACAACAACATGCGGATACTGTCTTGCTTGTACGTTATCATCCAGGTTCACACGCGGTAAAACGCACGCGGTCTACTAGTATACGTGACATGTTTGCATTCAATTTTGGTAGACTCCGCGGGCTGACTTGGAGGCAATGCAGTTCTATAATGCTATCTGACTGAGGCCTGAGGTTTAACAGGCAAGGCTAGGGTATATACGAGAAACGCCTATTGGCATATGACTCCGATTACCCGGATCCTGTGAGATAAAATCAGTCAACTCAAGACCTACTAAGCCGAGGTGAAAGCATTCCGTATGAACTTCAATAATAAATAAATCACAAATTAATTTTACTTTGGTGCAGGGTCACAACTCCATCCAGTTGCTAACTTGACTCAGCCTTGAGTATATACACGAACTACAATAATGCAAAGAACTTCACACATCATTGGTCCTCCTCGTCATCAAAACCGGTCTCGAATAAGTAATTGGCTGCAAGTTCCTCATTCTTATCGCATGCCAGATATGCCTCAGCAGCTTTCTGGCGCGAGAAACCCAAAGCCTCCAACTATCGCCACGTACAATAAGCACGAGTCCAGGATGCGTGTGGACGAACTTACCCGACCAATCGCAGCCTGCTCCTCCGGCGTAATATGTATTACTTGTGCGCCGGGTGGCACGGCACCATCGCCTTCACCTTCATCACCCCCATTGAGTAATTGCATTAATGCTTCAGGGTTACTTTCAAATAGTTGTCCAAGGTGTGGATTCTGCTCCATAATTTGCTGAACCAATGGCGCAAGCAGATTCGGGTTGGTCTGGACTAGCTGACGCAATTGCTGAAACTGGGGGTGGTTTCGAAGGGCCTCCAGATCAATTTCACCAACTCCAGCTCCCGCACCGGCGGTTGCCGTACCTCTGCTACCAGGCTGTTGTTGTTGTTGCTGTGCAAGCTACGCTTACGTTGATGAGAGTCCGATTGAAAAAGAAATCAGGGTACTAACTTGAAACAAATTCTGGGGTTGGCCAGTTGGGGCAACTGGAGCAGGCTGGGCTGCGGGTGCAGCAGATGTGGGTGCGGATGCGGCGGGAGTAGTAGGTGCTACACCCCCCGTCTGCGCTGGTCGCGCAGCAGGGCCCGCTGCTTCATGCATGAGGTGCGCAGGAATGCCCTGTGGTTTAAATTAGTATCAGACAAATAAAACGAGTGACATCAAACTACCGTCATCAAGTATTCGACGGCACGATCAGGGTTATTAAAACTGGCTCTCAGAGCGCGAGTGACTTGTTCGCGTTCAAAGCCCATCTCAACCATATTATTGATTGTCGACTGGAGCGCTTCTCCAGTCAAAAAGCTGCCGTCAGCTGTTACAGGTGCTGCTGCGGGGGCAGCAGAAGGGACAGATGGCGCAACAGGAGCTGGTGCTGGTGCTGCGGGAGCTGGTGCTAGAACTTGAGGTGCTGCTGGTGCCGGAGCCGGGGCGGGTGCAGCAGCCTCAGGCTGTGGCGTCGATGTCGAGGCAATTACCGGGGGTGGTTGAGGTTTAGACTGAAGATCACGGTGAACTTGACATCTGAAACAGATAGAAATCACTGCAAACCTTTGAAACCATCAATACCAAAAAGTCCTTTTCCTTGATCTCGCACGATGCAACCGTCTTGTCATCTGTAAGAATCTTGCCTACGATACCGGATGAACACTGTGATACTGTAAAATGACTGTAAGACCGTACCGGAAAAGATGAGCTTTTGGCTCTCTACAGAGTGGCCCTGTGTGTTGGATATCTTTTGCTTCAAATCTGCGATGGTCTCTGACCCCTCGGCTTCGAGCTTTTGCTCACATAAGGGATTGTTAAAGACAACAGGTAACGTTACACACCTGGAACATCTTCTGCTGGAGCGTCTTTATCGTTAACTTCATGATGGGCAATAATCTGATACAACTACGATTACGAATTTGTCTTTGAGCTTGTCGATGTCTTACCGATGGTGATCTGAGCTTCAAGGGCAGAACTGACGCGTTTTAATCTTGTCACACTTCGTGATGATATGTTGTCACGACGTCATGTCACAGAATGGGTGTGCGAGGTCCTACTCGACGTTTCCCTTGTGGTTAGGACACACATAATAAGCTTAGGCTGCCTGGCTGCCTGCAGGCCTATTTTTCTATTGACTGCCCCGTCATCATGGAACCACAGCCAGGCGATGATTATCTGCGCGGAATCGCAACATTCATCAGAGACAATGAGATGGGACTAGCAGAAGCTGGTTTCGTCCGACGAAGGCGTATACAGCGTCGGCACTCTTCTAATAACACCTCTGTCTTCAATCTCGCTGGCTGGTTTTCTTATGATTCACAAACGCCACCCCCTGCCCCTCCTCCGAAACCTGTCACATTCACTATTGACACCCATAGGCTATTTTACATCCTTATGCGCTTAGAGGCGCTCGGAATTGACATTGGGACATTAGACGTGAGGGTCGACAATCCCTCAAAGCCGATGCATTATACACACATCGATTTGTACCCTAATTCCGACAATTCCGACTCGCTGTCTCTTGCGTCATTTCGCTCGTCCCTTTCAGCCGTATCTGGTTTGTCACTTGGAGTAGGGTGGTGGGGAAGACAGGAGCCGCAAACCATCGACGAAGAGCTCAAGTATATTTACAGTTCTTTTACAAAGCTCCCTGCTCTATCTATCACGGCACCGGGTCCGAAAGTCATCGCCGAGCTCGCAGATGAACCACCCAATCAGAATGCACTCCCACTTGACGCATTCAAGAATATTCAGACCTTGGAGTGCGTCGACATAGACCCGCGGACATTACTTGGGTGGGATAGGCTGGCAGAAAGTCTGCGGAGTTTAACAGTCCAACGCAGTGGCCTGGAGGACGTCACTGATATCTTCATTGGTGCCGTATTAGATGACCAGGCTCGGAGAGATGGTACCACGAGCGACTCGAGAAGCAGACGCATACCTCGTTCACAACGCTCTTTCCAGAGTACTCGCCTACCTGAGTCCGTTCCTGAGGACGATGAAGACGATTTAACCCCTCCCGTGCCTTCACCCGGCGCTCCCCTCTCGCCCTATAAATGGTCATTATTGAAGCACTTGTCGCTAGCAGATAATGCTCTCACTTTTCTTCCCACCGACCCGTTACCATACCTCACCTCACTTAGCTATCTCGACCTATCGTCTAACCTCCTCGTGTCTGTGCCGCATGGTATTGCCACACTCCACAACCTCGTCTCCCTCAACCTCTCCGATAACATGATCGATTCAGTTCTTGGTATCTACACGCACCTTGGCCAAGTTCTCAACATCAATCTCTCCCGCAATCGGCTTGAATCTATTTGTGGCTTAGAGCGTCTAATGGCGCTGGAGCGCGTCGACTTGCGCTCCAACCACATAGAAGAGAGCGCTGAGATTGGGCGATTGGCCACATTACCCAACATCGCGGAGGTATGGATTGAAGGAAACCCGCTCACCGAGTACGAGGACAACTATCGCACCGCATGCTTTGATCTCTTCCTGAAGGAGGACAAGAACATTAAGCTTGATGGGGCATCACCAGGGTTTTATGAGAAACGCAGTCTCAGTGCATCACTGTCTGACCAGCCGTTGTCAATAAACACGGTTGAGACTCTCCCCTCCCCACCTGTCGTACCAGTAGGCAGTCCAAAGGCGATGGCACCCTCTTCGACAGTGACGCATGATGCCACGGGCACTCCGCGATCTGGACCCTCGTCGCCGTCTCATGGTTCTTCTCCGCTAACAGGTGCTGTTGCAGGGAAGAGAAAACGGAAGGTCAAGCGCATCGTCGACCTGAGCCCCGTGGATGGAACAGGTGAGGCGCTTCTTTAGATATTTGTCACTCACTAGACTTACAGTGCTTTAGATGGACAATCCTATTCCTCGAATAAGGGAGGCACTGTAGTAGTGCCAGGGATCTCTGTTGACCCTGCGAGCTCGCTACGCTCATCGTCTGCCACTGTTCGTATACTACGTCCACATTCAACGAATGGCAAGTCGGGCCACCGAAGAGTGAGCACGGTGTTTGATCCACCAGACGAGGGTCAGAGTCAGAGTCAGATACGAGATGCAGAGCTCTATCGAGCGCGGATGCAAGCCCTGCGTTCTGACATGGGAGATGGGTGGCTAAAGGTGTTCAGCCAGAGTCAGAAGCCATCACCAGGAGTTGCTGCGGGTTAGATTTCTTTTCATGATTTAGTAGGATATACCCATCCTGTATGTATTCACTGGTCTGGACTCTTGCATTAATATTGTACTATTGATAATCCCGTGTGTCGTTACACTGGCCGTGGTCCCATGGCTACGTGGCCCTTATTTTGAAGTTCTTCCTCATTTCCGGTCAAGAAGCACGAGCAAAACTAGAAATATAGTGTGTATCAGAAGCGGTTCTTCATTTCATCACTCGAAGCGGTGGTTGTACAAGGAAGCCAATTAGGAGGTGTTCGGGGTCTGAAATGGCGTGTGTTTACTTGGAGCGTTACTTTTCCTGGTTTACCTACTTTCAGTCTCTGAACCATTGCTTGTGGCACTAAACCCGCCTCTGTCGCTCTTTACCTTTGAATCTATATATCATCATGGGAGCTAACTTGTCAAAAGCACTCGGTGAGTGTTTTGTTTTGGGCGTAGTCGAAATGATGTCTATCGTGTGTAATTCCGCTGAACGGCATGTCTAACAGGCAGGTTGTTTGGGAACAAGGAGATGAGGTTGCTGATGCTTGGCCTTGACGCCGCGGGAAAGACAAGTGAGCTGACTTCGTTGTTCCCTTGCCATGCTGAAAACATTTTGTCGCAGCTATTCTTTACAAACTCAAATTGAACCAGTCTGTGACCACCATACCTACGGGTAAGTACCCGTGTACTATGGATCAACTCGAACACTCATGGTGCGCGTTTAGTCGGCTTCAACGTGGAGACCGTCACCTACAAGAATGTGAAGTTCAATGTCTGGGATGTTGGAGGCCAGGATAAGATCCGACCGCTGTGGAGACATTATTACACAGGCACTCAAGGGCTTGTGTTCGTCGTCGATAGCCAGGACCGAGAGAGAATCGATGAAGCAAAACAAGAATTGCATCGCATACTGAGTGATCGAGAGATGAAGGAATGTCTACTGCTCGTTTTTTCGAACAAACAGGATCTTCCCGGAGGTACAGCGAGTCGTTTATATGCTTTTGGATAAAGGCTCATTTATTTTCTAGCTATGTCACCCGCCGAGGTGACAGAAAAATTGGGTCTCCACCGCATGCGGGATCGTTCTTGGTATGTCCACCCAAGGTCAGCATTCCGTTCACTCCAGGAGAACGTTACTTACCCCATGTACCGCAGTTGTGCCACGACGGGTGAAGGATTGTTTGAAGGCCTTCAGTGGCTGAACCAGAACGTGAAGAAACGTCAGCCATGAACGATGCAGCAGAATACGCAAAACTCTGATACCCCCGCCAATACCACCCTACTTCGATACAACTGTCTTCGTCTCGTTGACAACCACGTTATGCTCTCTATTATGGCCTGCACGACTCTGCATGTATGACAGACCTATTCTAAGTCTGAACTTGTCTTCTTCATTCAACCCTGCATTTTTTTCTTGCTCGGTTCTAGATACATCTGAGCGCTTTTCTGTTCTTCGGGTGTTCTTATCTCTGCATCTTAATGGATGGTTTTGCTCTTTGATGTGACGATACATTCCTCTTCATACATGATTACCGTATAATTCGCCATATGGGCATAGCGAGCAATGAAGATATCGATAACCCGGATATAATTAAATTTATTTGCCGAGTTTCATTGTAATACCCAGGAACATTGACACATGATGACCTCTAAATGTCGTGCTCGCTCCGCCTCATGGGAGTAAGTACTAGTGTACTCCACTTCTTGCATCATTGTTTTTCTTTTTGAATTATCATGCTATCGGTTTTGCGACGGGCTATTGTACAGCAGACTAGAGGATTTGCGACGAGCAACATTGCTGTTGACGGTTTTACCGGTGCAGTGGGAAATACACCATTGGTGAGGAGGTCACCGCACGATTGAGAAGACAGTGGATTCCTCTCTAACACCATGGTCAGATCTATCTTAAGACGCTCTCGGAGCAGACAGGAAGCAAGATATATGGGAAGGCCGAATTCCAAAATCCTGGAGGCAGCATTAAAGACCGTGCTGCTGTCGGCATAGTTCTGGATGCGGAGGAGAAGGGTCGGTGAGTGGGAGTAGCACATAGCGCAACAAACATTAACGTCGAGTATGTACACAGCATAAAACCCGGCGGAACTGTTGTTGAGGGTACTGCAGGCAACACTGGTATTGGTCTTGCTCACGTTTGTAGAGCCAAGGGTTACAAATGTGTTATATTCATGCCTAACACTCAGGTGAAGTCGAGTAAACTACTTGGCTACTTTCTCCTTTACTAACGCTTTGGTACTCAGAGCCAAGAGAAGATTGACCTTCTCAGCATGCTCGGTGCCGAAGTGCACCCAGTACCTGCAGTTCCCTACGAGAATCCATTGAACTATAATCACCAGGCGAAGGAGTATGCTGAAAAGCTGGAGAATGCCATATGGACAGACCAATTCGATAATACCGCCAATGCGTACGCACACTATATCTCTACTGGACCCGAAATATGGGAACAGACGAAGGGTGACATCGATGGTTTTGTATGCTCAACTGGTACTGGTGGCACTCTGGCTGGAGTTGGCAAGTATCTGAAGGAGAAGAACCCCAAGACGCAGATATGGCTCGCCGATCCGCCTGGCAGTGTCTTGTACAAATATGTCTCTTCTGGTGGAAAGCTCATTGAGCGTGGCGGAAGTTCCATCACAGAAGGTTAGACTTTTTCAATCTACCACGAGTCGACATGGCTGAACGTTCTATTCTGCAACCACAGGTATTGGTCAAGGCCGTATCACAAATAACCTGGGCATTTTTGTCAATGACCTGTCGGGAGCTCTGCACATATCGGACGAGAAGTCAATATCTATGGTGTATCAGCTTCTTGATAGTGAAGGCTTGTACCTAGGCGCTTCCTCGGCGCTGAATGTCGTCGCAGCCGTAGAACTTGCTCAAAAGCTAGGCAAGGGTAAGTCAACTACAACTACATTTCATTGCCCATGTTAAAGCTCAATTCTATCTATCAGGTTCCAAAGTTGTAACTGTACTGTGCGACGGCGCATATCGATACCAGAGCCGTTTGTTCTCCAAGAAATGGCTAGAGTCGAAAGAGCTAGGAGATGCTATACCAGAAAGCCTGAGGAAATACGCAGTTCTAGATTGATCAAATTGCTGTTATTACATTGATCTATCATCTTGTCACATCCCTGGGTATACTGATCTGAACTCTACCGAGGGGCTCAGAGACAAGTAACAAGGCCATCACCGTGTCAGTCCGTTCATGAGGTCTTCATTGCAAAGGGTTGTCGATGCAGTACTCGCCTTACGTCCTACCTACTAATTCGGCAATCATAGTGGATACAGGCCATGCATTCATGCAGTATGATATCGATTACTAGTGGGTACAACGGATTATTTAAGTATACAACACTGCCTGTGTTCGTATTCACTTCCAGTTGGGCAATTTTTACGAAGGGAGTCACGACAGGGGCCAGCCTCGAGGCTTCGAAGACCATAATATTATGCTTATGCATGGCCGTTGCCCACCCTGTTTTTCGCGTTTCCTTGGAACTGGGTGGCCTTATAGCGCGGCAAATATTGTTATTGGATGACGTTACGCAGTATTCCGTTACACTTCTTATCACTGACCTCTTCCATCTAATATTTGTCGAAGGGAGTAAGATTTAGGCTAGTGGCAACTATGGTTACAATCCCATGGGTGCTCGTGTATCATCGCGGACACCCGGCCTATCGCTCACTTGCTGGTGTTCAGGGCGCACTATCCGGCGCAGGTTACATCCATTTCGTCACCGTTACCTGACACTGTAAGAAGCACCACTGATGGAAAAACCCCCTTTCGAGCTGGATATATCAAGCACGCAGCAAATAACACGACCTGATTTAATTTGCGTTGTTCCAATATGTCAACGTCAAGATTGAAAGAACCGCTAGACTTTGCATAAGTTGCCAGTACTACCTGGCCGCACTAAGCACCCTCTGTGTTAGATGCCTTCCTTCTCTTCAGGGGTGTTTGATTCATAATTTTTTGACGAGTTATCTCCTGCTGCTGAGAAGTGAACTGCCACTTCATCCCCAAACCTCATGTTGATTTCTTCAAGCGAAAGCCCCTTCGTCTATTTCAATGTCGTCAAACAGCCTAGCGGTACAGAAATCGAGCGCGGTAGGCTTACCTCGGGGAAATGTCGCCATATAATCATGACATGAACCGCAGTCAAGCAGATAAACATCACGTAATAGTACCATCTGATGGTGGAGAGTGCAGTTGGCCCTGCTTCAAGGAATACTACAGTCGAAAGGAACGTGCCGATCATTGAGAACGCCATTCCCTGCGAGCGGATGTGTGTGGGGAAGATCTCAGAGCAGTACACATATGAAGTCGCATCGATGCCTCCCGCATAGAAGAAGATGAAGCAAAAGATGAAGAACACCCCAAGAGAGTTTCCTACGCGGTTATTGGTGCCCATGTATTCGGCCTCCATAGCGCATTCCAGGCTAAGAGTGATCATGCATCCAATCATTCCGATGACTGTACCGGCGTATAAGAAAACGATAGGTAAAAATGAAACAAAACGTACTGAGGAGGCGCACTCGTCCAATGAGATCCATGAGGAAGGACGCAAGGAAGTTCGCCATCGTTGCAACAGTGACATACAGTGCGCCGAGGATCAAGACCAATCCTCCATTAAAGCCCAAGTCATTATACAAATTGACCATGTAGTCTGTTCCGCGTTGATCAGTTTGCTGATAAGACGGAGAATAACATTGGAGGTACTTGAGACAACCATTGCACCAGTGGCTTGGGCAGCATATTGTGTGAAGAACCCAATCATCATCCTTTTACGGTACGATGCCTTGCTATACATCTGACGGGTACCACCTCCAGCGATCCATGCATGCGAGTCCATTTCTACTTGTTTTACCATCTGATGGAATTCTTTTTGGGCATATGAAACCTTGTTCGTGTCCACAATACTTCCGTCGACATGAAGGCGAGAGATAATATCCCAACTTTCTGCATGGCGCCCTTGCATGAGTACTTGATGAATTCATCAGCTGAGGAATCCTAAATACACAATAATTCAGCTTACACCAACGCGGGGATTCGGGAACCCATGGACTGCAGCAGAACAAGCCAAGGGGAAAGACACATTGGAGAGCAAGAGGGAAGCGCCACTGAAAACTGAGATCGGAAGAATAGAACGTCCCAACACCAACCCAGCTTGCAATCGCATATCCGAAAACGATCCAAGCCCCTTGTATCATAGTCAGATGATTGGTTTGGGTGATAAAACAATAAATACCATGTTGGCCGACAAGAAGGCCACGGGAGGAGGGAGGGGAGATTTCTGCCTGGAAAATAGGTATGAGAACAACCATCATTCCAATTCCACATCCAGTGATGAAGCGTGCTACGAGAAGCATGGCAACATTAATTGAGCCTGCTTGAAGGGCTCCGCCAATGATGCAAATCAGAGCAGCGGTGTTCATAGTAATCTTACGACCGTGCTTGTCGCACATGTAGCCAACTGTGAGGGCTCCAAGAATGCCACCAGCAGAGAATAAGCCGCTTATTGAGCCTTCGATTTTGTTTGTATATGAGGCATTGCCAGAGAGACAGAAGTACTGAAGAAAACCAGGCTGTCCAAAGGTATTGGAGATGACACTGAAAGCATAGCCGTATGTGAGACTTCCAAGGGTCAAAATCAAAATAATCCGGATATTAAAGGCAGAATAGTGACCACCGTACATGGTGAACGTGGCCGGGAGAGTGATGAAGACACTCCGAGTCACTCACGGTGACAAACTTCTTATGTGCTATTAAAAATACTGCCATTTCATGACATAGCAGCTGCTAGAGCCAGTCAGTGTCAACAAGATCAGCTGAACAGCGGCGAAAGGTATTCTTGGGTCAGTGTTGGATTCTGTTAGACGCTCGGAAAGGAGGAATGTCACTGGACCCAGGCTCCGGCTGACCGCTGAGAAATTTGCGGCTAGATCGTGCCTCGCAAGCAAGATCACAAGATCAATGTTACCTACCATAGAATCACAGGCCGAGGAGTTCTGTAAACAAAAGAAAAGGTACTATTAGAGATCGGAGTACTTACCAAGAAGTATAATGTCAAAGGCAGTGGCCATCATGATTGTGGGCACCGTGACGCGACGTGACTAATTTAAAATGAAGAAGTGACAACACGCGTGACATACCGCGTTGTGTTGTTCAGTCAATTTCCCCTAGGAGCCCAGAGGACATCCGCTTTCACCCTTCGCGCCGTGATGTCCGACTCCATTCCTACCCAATGGATATCGCAGTACATCATCAAAATCGCCGAATTATGTGGAAAGTCATTTACTGATGTCCCTATCGAAGCCATTTCACCTAGCAAGAACAAGAGAGTTCAAATACTCGAAGTAAGTACTTCTACTCATTCTCTATGCTCAGTACTGACCGCTGCAGTTTTTAACATACAACCCAGACGCAGCAATATGGGGGAGAGTGTCCGACAAGGAATACAGTATTCCCGTGCGTTTCACTAAAGACGCTGTGTTGCAATATATGAAGTGAGTTTCATGCTTGGATCTTGTTAACTGCTGTTTGACGTATTGCTGCAGGGATTTGCAAGGTCGCAGGCTGACAGAAGCAAAACACGCCATCTTTTTCATAGGGCAATTTCGCCCCATCTTCGTACGAATTCCCGTTGGGAACAATCGTTCGAATTTGAGCGAGGATTGTCATATAGCTCTAGAAGCTGGTGTTGTTAAGTTTGTTGGCTCTGGTCTAGGCGTTTTCGGCTCCCCGCAGGACGTTGAAATGAACTCTCAGGTGAAGGCATGGGTTCGCGGACTCCGACAAGGTGGCAATGGTGGGTAAGTGTCAATAAATTTTTGCACGAGCACTTTCTGAAATGCAACAGGGATGTCTTGAAGCGTGGTAAACAAAATGCAGCAGATTCACAACTCCAAGAAGTCTGCCCAGCCATCAACCATGTGGAAGCACCTCCCGCACTTCAGGCTCGGGAACCAGAACGTAATCCACCCCATATCGCGCCAGAATGTCCTGTCCGAAGGGCCGATCTGGTGAGGGAATATCGCAAGCGCTTCGCGGTAAGCATATGGAATTCATGAAAATTCGTTCATTGAACCGTGTTTATCAGTGTGCCGAGAAAGACCTCTGGACATGTACAATGAAGCCTCCCATTGATGACAAAGTGCAAACGCTCGCCGGTGGTACGTGTGCAGCTTAATACATTTCTCGTGAGCTTAATTTACGCGTAGAACAACCTCAAATGGGACAGCTGCCTGTCGAAGAGCGTGTACCTCCTGATACTGTGATCGTTGATGACCCCATATCACAACCAAAATGTATCAGCAGGAGCGTTGACCGAAATACAGTCGCAAGGTCCCAACCCTGTACCCCGCCGCGCCTACGTACACCTGAGCGAGACATAAATGAGCAGACTACACCAAGAATCTCAGAATGGCCTTCATCTGCGCCTGGAAGCCCTGCTGGAGTATTGCCATCTCCAGCTCACGACGGAGTTGATCATCTTCCAAATGACCACGCAAACCGAGAAGCTTCGGCGGAGGAAAACGGTCCCCTCCACGAACCCTCCACACCTCCTACTACTTCGCCCCTTCGCCCGCCCACACCCGCGCAGCGCATCAGACGGCCAATTCTTCCTCCATCCCCTTCAGATTCGTCCCCCATTCTTGCGCTACCTTCCTCATTTCCTTTACCCATTCGTAGAAACATAAAACGAAGAGTTCCTCACCCTGGTGTGCCGGCGTTACCTACCGATCACTCAGGTCCAACTCAGATTCTCGTCCCCAATTCTGATACTTCGGGCACTCAATCTCAGTCTCAATCTCAACCACAATCGGAACCTCCATCACAACTGCTCTCCCAATCACAGCCACATCGACCCCCGTTTCCATCCCAGCTGACGCAAGAATTCAAGCCAGGACCGACGTCGACACCCGCTGCCGTCAAACAGGGCGTCTCGAGCACAGGTCGTGGAGCTTCGCTGATGCTTCCAGGTGACCAACTCGAGAGTCATTGGGGCGATGATCGTGCTTCTTCAGGTGTCATCGGCTGGGACGTTCATGAGGGACTTGGCCACGGCGATCATCAGCCGTCCGACACCAATCCAGATACGCATCATGTCCCACAACAATCGACGGCTGAAGATCCTGATATGATGGATGTTGACGCGGTCAATGATGTCGAAATCCCCGCTGTTGTGCATACTACACCCTCACCAGCACCCGAAGACCAATTGGATGAATACAAACCCATAAGGGACACTTCACCACAGCCCTCCAATTCGTCTATGCATTCCTTGTTTTCTGGTTCCCCTAGTCTTTCACTATCCCAGTCCGAAGTCATACCCTCCATCATACGAACAACCTCGCCACCTCCAGGCGAACCAACAAGTCGGGTCCCTTCACATGATGCAGAGGCTTGGAAGGCACCCAGTTTCATGAACTCTTGGAAGGGTAAAGGGAAGGCTACAGAAGTGCTTGACAAGACATCCGAGACGCACAAAAGAAGACGGGCGTCGCCCACATCTTCGTCTCCACTCGCTTCTCACAAACGCAGAAAAGTTGTGGCGGACGAAGCGCTGGAACCTGGGCCCGCAAGACCTGTCAGTAAAGACAAAAAAGCAAGATCCACCGTCCCAAACGGTAAGGGGAACCACGCCGTCGCATTGGATATTAAGGAGTCACACAAAGAGAGTCCAAGCATCAAGCAATCATCGTCGCGTAGGATATCCAAAGATTTAAGCCAAATGCTGGACGCGTCGTTCTCCCGGAGCATCGATAAGAAGCGCAGGACACGTTTAATGGGCTACCTGGTCGACTTTGAGGATATTCCTGCCAAAGCTGAGTCTTCGAGTCCAATGATGAACATGTTACGTTGTCGTACCATGTTACTGCGAACCGGAAGAATACGAACGCTTGGCGACAAGGTGACCAGAGATGGGAGTATATATATATTGTCTGATTAATTTAATGTCCACGATGTTGTCGGATGGAGGGGATTACATAAAGTAACCAGCTTTGATGCTAATGACTATCTTGTGATTGGTTCACACCGTGCTTGCACCAGGTAGTACTGGTCGTTCTTCAAGGTAGTATAGGCTTCGAGAATGATCATATTGTTCTGCTTCAATCATTATCGAGTTCGCGGAGTGAGGAGTCGCGTTCCGGTTCAACGGTCCAGTGCTCAGTGCCGACGGCGATTAAAGTACCCATGATCATGATAGACGATGCCTACCGCCATAATTTTTGCACCTGGATTTCAGAGATGTTTGCGGTTGTTAGACGACGGACCTGCCAACCACCAACCCAAGTCCTGGCAGAAATTCTCTGTCGCACTCATGCACACTTCTTGAAATGAAAACACTTGATCTTTGCATTCAAAACCGCGACCCAGTAATTAATTTCTGCATGCCACCTGATGTCAAGGCCCCTCTATAAATTAGGAAAAGCGAGCGCCACTGGACCGATGATGCAGCCGATGCGGCTGTGCACATCATGATGTTGTGCTCGCCACAGATCTGTAGTGACGGAAACAGTAGGTCTATTAGCTAGTTAACAAGTCATACTTAACACATGGGCGCATTGTCATGTACTTCGGCGCAACGTTGAAACATAGCGCATTTTGGGCAGAAGACAGATTCCCCGAATATGAGTGTCTCCCACACTCAGGACTTCGCGACTGTTGCTGTGATATCGTCACCAATTAAATAACCGCAGAAGATTTAAGATAATAGAGATGCTTGTTGACCTCGTCCCATTCCTTCTGGAAGACCATGCTGGCGTTCCAGTGGTCTCGCCGGGTTAGAATTCGGTCGACGCAAGGGAGGACGAAAAAGATGATGCGAGCGACAGCTTCTGCATCTGCTACATCAGACTGGGTCAAGTCCAATTTTTGTAGGGTGGTATGTTGAAATGTCTCGGCTGCAGGATCGATATCGATATTTACGGCGTCCATTAATATGCGCAGCGTATGCAAGTGGGGACACAGGGGGAGTGCTGCAAACAGTCCGCGGAATGTAACTGCAGGTGGCATCTGCGAGTCCACTAATTCCAGCGAGCGGATGTGCGGCCAACTTGACATAACTTCAAAAAGAAGGTCGTTGTCAATGTGGATGCAGTAATGCAGATTGAGTCGCACAGTCCGGAGATGGGTGAAACAAAGAAGTTGTGTAACCGCTGTCAAAGAGTCGCATGTGGGCTCCTGGACTCTTGGAACATGGGAGGCTATGCTAATGTGTTCAAGGGTCTCTTTTGCTTTGCACTGGGATAGCGCACGACAGAGTTGCTCAGCCTCTGCGCAAGGCAAAACGTCGGCAACCATCTCAAACTCTTTAAGCGAGGGGAATTCTGAGTGTTGCATGACTGTGATAGCGTACGCAGCCGTGTTTACATTGAAAGAAAGAGTCGTGATGTTGAGGAAAGGCGCGAAATTGACGATATCCCGGTTTAGTGACCAACGAGAAGCACTGCGCGGTTCACGGACTGACACTTTGAGAAGGCTAGGGAGGTCGGAGAGGTGCTTCCATGCTGCCCAGTCGAGAGGTAGACAGGACAGAGTTATGAGCCGCTTGCACAAACGGACACTGTCAGACAGAAGGATTCGATCATCTGCTGACTGCCGCTCCCATTCAGGAATCTTGACAGATAAGTGCTCTAAAGCAGCACAGCGAGTTGCAAGAAATTTCAATTCCGGATTAATGACCGATAGGACACAACAGCGCAGCGTAGGAGACAGAAAGAGATACAAGTATTTATGTTGAAGACGTCGAACTATAAAGGCCAGTGACAATAGTCTCGGAAACATGCATGTCTCGATGGGGAGCACTGCGAAAAGGTGAAGACCCTCGCTGCATGATATACATAATGAGCGCACACGGGCGGCGTGATGCAGAAATTGATGGGCTTCATGCTCAGATAATGGTTCCACGCCTTCAGACCAGTCCCAGGTAAGCGGCTTTTTGGAAGCTCAGTGAGCCAATAAACGGGAAGAAGTACGACTAGTCCAGACTGACCTTTGAACTAGTATATATCAATTGATGTAACCTCGGTACACAGCCTAGCAGTGGTATTATCCCATCCAAATCAGCCCAAAGCAAATCCATCGCGGGCTCGTGGAAAGCTTTGCATGACCTGGCAAGCGCTTCAAGTGAGCCCAGATTCCCATTTACATGCGCAAATATCTCCGAGAGGATTTCGGAAATAAGCAGAGCCCGATGCATGAGTTATGCGTTGAATATTAATCGTCGTGTCAACTCTGAAGCGAGGGAGTGGCGCGCAAAACATACATGTACAAACAACATTAGAAAGTCCTTACACGTCCTTTTCCTGAGGGTCATGGCCCTTGTGCTACGGATCTCTTTATGGATTCACCTGCTTCTTATCTGCCAAGTACCATCGTCCGTCGATTGGGTGGATGCACGCAAGCTGGTGACAAATTTGAGCCATGCACAAAGCCTGGTGCACTAGCTTCGGCGGAACTTCGCTTTGCAGCAAAGGCGCTTGCAAGACAAAGTGAAACGTCTTTCGTAGAGGCAGAAGCAGTTTTCTTTATTACGCAATATATATTTTGTCTCACCATTGTCATGTAGGGCAAGGATATCCTGAATTCTCAAGCAACGTGAGAGATTTGTCTTTCATGGCGAAACATCATGACTGCTCGCGGTCCTGCTTTCCGTGACAAGCGATGTGTACCCAAGTGTTGCTTCGCAAAGCTTCCAGTGCACCTGGATCGCCACCAGACATATTGGTACTTGACGTTGGGGAGAACAAGCTTAAGCTTGTCGACAGCGGCAAGCGTCGTGCCTTACCCCGCGCCCGGTTGACCTCACCCGATTGCTGCGAAGAATGGAGTCACACGCGCCTTCATCGCCTGTTCACGCCCTGATCAGAGCCGAGAGTGTGGGCGTGTAAGAGCAGACATAATTGGCTTCCCGCACAGAGCGATCTGGCTTCATTCGAGATGGGTGAGGGGAATGGAAGTGAAGGCTGCTGTTAAACAGCCAGATTCAAGGGCGAGATCGCAACTTCAGATCACGCTGGAGTATGTTGACGATGGGTAGATGAACTCGTCCCATATAATCCGCAAGAGTGTTATCAACTCCGTCCTTGGCTCCGTTGGGGCTATAATAGCTGAGTGTCGTATAGCTTCGTGAAGTCATCTTTGAGCTTCTCGAGATCTCCGAGTGAGAAGATAGGAAGGGCACGTGGTGAGGCTGTCCTGACGTCGGGACGATGATAGCACTGCACTAGTACCAACTCGCGATGAGGACATGGCTAGGTCATGAGGCACTGCCGCTTGCAACTCTTGATACGATAGTGGAAACAGGAATCGCGAGAAACCCTGAAGATCGCAGATTCTGGTCACCGTGTCGTTCCATCGCGTTGTCAGTCTCCGCTACTCTCTTGCTGAGCTCTGAGAACTTGTGAGCTAGATTTGGACTCGTGAACTCGAGGTATCAGCGACCACCGCTGGTCACAGCCCTGCTCCAAGGATTCGATAGCCTTTTGTGAATTATGACGGCACAAGGCACAAGATGCTGCATCTACGGTGAGTTCTCTGGCATCATGAAAGGTAGAAGCATCTTTGCACTGCATCGGATGATCGACGATCTTGTCATCAAATGTCTCTCGAAAAGCTCTAAGGACATTTGGTAAGCTTCGGCGGATTTGTGTTGATAGAAGTCTGCCTGAAGAGCTCGTTGATCGGCCACCCGCACACCCGCAGGAAATCCTCGAGTAGGGTGACTTGATGACAATCTGAAGTTCTCCACTGCGAGTGATAAATCGGTATGGTTGCGCTGCACCCAGTAAGGAGCCATATAGACGAGCGTAGGTCGGAGGAGTAGTGTGTGCCGGGGTGTGGTAGTAGGAGTACCACTGATTCCATGCAAAGTGGGACAAGGAGTGACCCTCGTAGGAATATGGGAACTAGAATCTGAAGTTCAGATAAGGATGGCCAGCGTTTGAGGCTTGAGCACTTGAACTCTGAGGGTGGTAAAGTAATGGTAAAGAAGCAAGAAACGAATTAATGTCCAGGCCGCTAATAGCTGCTTTGTCACGATCTTGGGCTTGTACTCATACTAATAGCTGGACACTCTAAGGTAGAATCCAACGTATATTGTAGTGAACTTCCGAAAGAATCAAGCCGCTATCAAAGTACTAGAACCCTTATCAACCGCACAGCATCGCTTCAAACGTCATGCAGGGAAACTCAGTCGTGCAAGGAACTTTTCTAGTAATTCGCAGAGGTGTGTCTTGGCCTCATCGATCTTCTGATAGGAGTCCTATGCAAGGTGAGCACACTACTGCTCCTAACAATGATCTTACCCGATAACCAGCGCATAAACAGTGTGCGATGAAGGCAAATCAACACAATAGCTGTCCGTAGCCTGAAGACTTTGATCTCATGTCCAACATGATCCAGGTGGCGCGCAACGTTGTCCAATTCTTGTGCAACATAGTCGAGTTGTGTGAGTACAGCAGAACATTTTGATCCGAAATGAGCCCCTGGTCTAAGTCCTGCACCTCATCCGAGAGGTCATCGAGATTGTGCCAAACCGAGCGGATTCACGATTTTCTTTAATTCTGAACGACGTATTTTGAAGTGGTAGAAATTGGGAGTCTGGGGTTTTTGGTAAGATGGGGGCGTGTCTTTATAGATGTCGACAGCATATTGAAGTCAGGTCTCACACAACCTCACGGCGAGGTGTCCATCAATTCGGACAGATTATGGGACTGTGAGTGAGCAGGAAGGTGATTGATTCACTTACAAGTACACCGGGTGACGTCCGTGAAGCAGAATCCTGAAAGCTGAGTGCTCATAACGAGTTGAGAACCAAGGTAGCTGGCCCTGAGAAAGGATTCATATCCTGGTGAAAGATGGTGACGGTGCACAGAAGAGCATAGAAAAGCATCTATGAGTCGGGGACGACAAAGTTTAATCGTGTGTCAATTCGGACTCGGATGAGCACTATAATCCAGTGCCGGCAACAAAAGTACGATATTTGTTGACATCGTGAAGCTCTATCCACGCGAGCATGTATCAGGATCTGCAAGCAGCGGGGTAATTGTGATTCATATTCAGGACTCAGATGGATATGGTTGTTTTTCAAGGCTCACTGATTTAATGAAACCTATTTTTGTGGCACGCAGCTTACTTGCGAGCACGTGACCAAGACGCGACACGAACCTGTCACAGGCACGTTACATCTTGTTACATTGTCCTTGAACATTTGCACCGCAGCACGCATTTTGATTTAACAGCTCAACGACCACATAAGACGCCAGGAATGAAACGCGCAACCTCTCGTAAACCAGTACCGAGCGTCACCGGGGATGCCGGTCATCAACGACCACTCATAAATCCAAACAACTCGTGAGTGCTCAGTGCACTAACAAACGAAGAACATATTGATGCATATGCCGTAGTGTGGACGCGTCATATGCATCCATTAATCAACAAGTGGATGAAACCCTCATTCGCCATTCAGTCGGTTCGCACGAATCTGCAAACAGGTAATGTCCTAGCGTCGTACTACGGAGTCACATTCTGATCGTGTGCGAAACCAGTGAAGCATGCTTTGAGCAAAGTGCGACATCAGACGGACCTCTCTCTTCTGATTCTCGTCCGCCTCCAGAAAGGTATCAACCAGGGCAGCTACTTCCAACGATAATGACCGGAGAAACATTAGATCTTGAGGAGTCGTATACAGCTGATGAACCTACATCTTCGCAGGGTCATGACCCTTTCTCAGACCATCACACTATCACACACCTCCATCAGCAAGCCCCTTACACTCAACTGTCCCCCGCACGAGGACTCCCTCAACCACAATCGAATACATCACACGAACACCTCGTCGCCACTCCTTTCAGCTCTACCCCCACTATCTATTCGAATTATGGCACGGGGAAATCCCCTGAATTTAACAGCTCCGTCGATCATTTCCAGCACGACACGGAAGCATATGCATCTGGTAACTTCACCCGCTCCTCCTACCGTCCCCCGAGATCACGATCGCCCACTCCGTTCATGGATGAAGATTACAACCTTGATTCCAACAACAATACTCATTATACAGGATACTCTCAAGCTCGCGAGCATGACCCTTACGAAGACGAGAAGACAGCGTACAATGACGAGTATGATATCTCGCAGTATGCTGACGTTCCCGGCACCGAAGAGTACTATGATGATGGCGAAAAGACACCTGATGCTTCAGTTGGATATCAGGAATCAGAGACGCCTGTTGAGACCCGTCACTTTGGACCTGCACCCGTCGGGCGCGTTCGTAGACGCCTGAAGAAGAAACGGGTGCAACTGACAAATGGCAATCTCGTCGTAGACCTCAATGTGCCTCCAAAGCTTGTCCTCCCCTACAGAGGGGAGCCAGAGATGACTAAGACGCGGTATACAGCGGTCACTTGTGATCCTGACGATTTCGAGAAAGAGAAGTTCTTTCTACGACAGAACGAGAATGGCCGCACAACTGAATTATTTATTGTTATCACCATGTATAACGTGAGTTCAAGGACGGTTTAGACATCTACTTTTTAAACCTGTTATTACAGGAAGACGAGGTCCTCTTTTGTAGGACCTTGTATGGAGTGATGCGCAATATAGCGCATCTTGGCTCGCGCAAGAATTCCCAGACATGGGGACCTGATGCCTGGAAAAAGGTGATCATCCCGTTGTCCCATGCTGCTTCACCCTTCTCATACCCTCCAGGTTGTCGTCTGTATTGTAGCGGATGGCCGCAAGAAGGTCCACCCGCGTGTGCTTGACTGTTTGACGCTCCTTGGAGTTTACCAGCCTGGAGATCATATGAAGAACAAAGTTAACGACAAGGAAGTCACCGCGCATCTATTCGAGTACACGACTTCCTTTGCATTGGATCCGAACCTTCACTTCAAGTATCCAGATAAGGGCATCGTGCCAACGCAAATTATGTTTTGCATGAAGGAGAAGAACCAGAAAAAGATCAATAGTCATCGATGGTTCTTCAACGCCTTTGCACCCATGTTACAGGTAAGCGATGGTTTCATTAAATACAGTGTGAAACTCACTGTATCCTCAGCCTAATATCTGCGTGTTGCTCGACGTCGGAACACGCCCAGGCAATAACAGTATATATCGGTTGTGGAAAACATTTGACGTCAACTCAAATGTTGGTGGTGCTTGTGGTGAGATCGCAGTATACAAGGGCAAGAACTGGCAATACCTGCTGAATCCTCTAGGTTTGACTTCTTTCATTTGACAATGTTGCTTCTTGACATCTAGTATCTTCCCAGTCGCGGCTCAAAATTTCGAGTACAAGCTTAGCAATATTTTGGACAAGCCAACGGAAAGCATGTTCGGTTACATCAGTGTCCTGGTATGCTGATGTGCCGAGTCTACCGTGAATGATGTAACTGATAACCATAGCCTGGCGCTTTCTCTGCTTATAGGTATACTGGAGTCGCCAGTTATCAGTGATGCCCATCTTATAGCTTTTCATAGGTATATTGCCTTAGCAAATAACAAGGACGGAACAGGTCCTTTAGCTTCTTATTTTAAAGGCGAAGTCCTTCATGGCCACGACACCGACATATTCACATCAAACATGTGTATGTCTTTGCATCGGGCTTCTTTTACAAACTTCTCTAATGTTCGAACGCAGATCTTGCAGAAGATGTATGTCTCCCTGTTTCCGGATGATACTATGTGCTGAGATTGTTTCAACCCCCAGCGTATCCTTTGTTTTGAGCTCATAGCGAAAGCAAATTCGAACTGGTAACGCTCAATCTGCCACAGCTTTGCACTCCTAACTGGTTGGTTTCAACAGGGTGTTGAAATATGTCAAGGGTGCCATTGGTGAAACCGACGTGCCAGATGCGCTACCAGAGTTCATCAGCCAGCGCCGGCGATGGCTAAATGGCTCATTTTTTGCAGCAGTATATGCTGTGGCACACGTAGGGCAAATTATGCAGTCTGGGCACAGTTTCAGTCGGAAGGTGACTCTCATGATCGAGACCGTTTATAATATCATCAACATGGTATTTTCATGGTTTGGGATTGTGAGTATTTCATAGTTGCCCAGATGAAACGTCGATTGATATGTGTCAGGGAAACTTTTACCTGTTTTTCGTCAGTTTCAAGGTCATTTATGATCGGTACAGAGATTGAGTTATTTTCGCAGGTTGTCCTGAGTTCGTCGTTAGAAGACAAGTCCTTTGGTGTGCCCTCCATCAAATATTTCAATGCCGTAGTTCAATACTTTTTGGCTTCGATAATCATCGCTTGTTTCCTCCTGTCAATGGGGAACAAGCCTAAAGCGTAGATGTTTCCTTCGACGTCCAAGCTATGTTGATGTTGACATCTAGACAGGGCTCATCGCAAATACTTGCTAGCCTCGCTGTTCCTCGCGGTTCTGATGGTGTACCTCATCATTGCATCTGTGCTATGTGGTATAGCTGCATATAGCCAGGCCGGTGGAGGCGTGGTCCTTCTGAGCGTGGCGATAACCTACGGAGGTGAGTATCATTTGCTACGCTGTCCTTTTGCTTGTGATCAACTTCGATCTGCGCAGTGTATGTACTTAGCAGCCTCCTGGCGTTCGACCCATGGCATATGCTTACCAGCTTCGTGCAATACCTGCTGCTGAGTCCAACATACATGAACATCTTGAGCATGTATGTCATCTTTCATTGACTCGACTGTCAGCGTAATAATCACTTAACATTCAACAGATACGCGTTCTCAAACCTCGATGATGTAGGTTAGAGTCTGCACTAGTCGGGTATATAATCTGACGGTGCCCTAGATATCATGGGGCACGAAACAAGATGCGGTTCCAGACGCGGACCTCGGTGCCGCAGTACAAGACTCTCATTCTCAGGTCGACATTGCCATGCTTGCAGAAGCTGCAGACGTGAACGGTATCTACGAGGAGTCAATTGATAATCTGAAATACCGGAAACCCGCAAATAAAAACAAGGGTAATGTAAATACGGAGCGAGAGCGAGAGATGGCAGCTATCGACTACTACGCCAACGTCAGAACCAATGTGAGTTGATTCCATTGATTTAAGAACTAGAGGTTAAGATTTTATAGGTACTGTTGGCTTGGGTGTTGTCGAATGTGAGTCTGTCGAACCGAAATTTAGACCACGTGTTGATGAGATGTCTTCCTGGCAGGGCGTACTGTTGCTCGTCATTCTCTCTGGTTCCGATTCATCAGGCACTTTCAATCCAGACGCAGGCGTATCGCGGACGAAGGCATATCTAATGTTTATCCTTTCGTTTGCGGCGATCACTAATTCAGTGGTGTGTATCCTATGCTCGCCTGATTGGACAAGAACTCAAATTTGAATCACAGCGCCTCGTTGGCTCAACCTTATATCTGCTGACGAGGATATTCACCGCGTGATCAAGCAGATATTATAGAAGGTGTATCATTATTCGAATATATAGTTAAATCTTGTCTCCAAGCATGCGTGCGGAAAATAAGTTATAGCGATGACGGATTCATCGGGGAGGGTTTGTCACGCGATGTCACACGGTGTCTTGTCACTTCAACTTCACTCTCAACCGCGATGTCGGAATACTGGGTGTCGCATAAACGTTACCACTGCAAATACTGCAACATTTATATAGCAGACGATGTCCCATCTAGGCAGCACCACGAGAATGGAATGCGCCATAAAGGCAATGTCGAACGCTTTGTGCGCGGGCTCTACAAGGCCGGCGAGAAAGCCGTGAAGGATAGGGACGAGGAGAAGCGTGAGATGGAAAGGATTAGCAAAGTACGTTAATATGCAGTTTCCAGATTCATTCGCTCACTTATACTTCAGGCTGCAGCCGCGGCATATGCCCAAGACGTAGGTGCTGGACTTGGGGGAGTCGGATCATCTTCACGTGATGCTCCCGCTGCAGCACCTGCGCCGAAGAAGCCTCCAACGAAACCAAGCAATCCGTATGCTAACTACTCAACAGCTGCATCGTTGGGATATGCTGATCCTGATGCGGAGCGAGCTAAGGCAGAAGCAGATATAAGGCAAACGATGGGTGTCGCAGGAGAGTGGCAGTTCGTTCAGAATTATACATCGGCGTCTTCTGCACCGGTACGGAGTGAGGTTCCAAGCGTGTCAGAAGATGCAAACGGAGAGACGGCAGGGTCTTCTGAGGGTGACAGGAAACGTGAAGCACCGGTGGACGATATCGAGGACGAGCGTGTTTTCAAGCTGAGGAAGAAGACGGTCGACATTGGATTGGGAGAATTATACGACCCGGGACTCATACCTATCAAGTTGAAAGTGAAGAAAGAGGAGTCGACGGAACCGCAACCTGCTTCATCGAAGACTGCTGTTGACGATACGAAAGCGGACGCTCAGGACGCGCTACCTGCCGATGCGAAGGTGAAGATAGCATGGAAACGCGCAGCGTTTCAACCGGCAGCTGACGAACCTGCCTCTGACGACGTGAAGGCACACTCTAGTGGAGAAGGTGTTCCAGAGGTGAAACTCGAGGAGTTTGGAGCTGCTAAAGAAGAGGTCCTTCCTGCCAAAATCGAATCAGAGCCTCAAATACCACCAGAACCTGTAAAAAAGGAGGAAGTGGTTTCCCCTTCTCTAGAGGTTCCTGCGCCCACAAGCCTCTTTCGCAAACGCAAGCTACCCACGAGACGTTAGTTGTTGATTTTAGAGGACTAGTCCGTGTCGGATTTCGTCTTCAAGGTCTGTAATGTAGTTTCACTTTGTATGTATTTTAACTCTTTATAAATATAGAAAGGAAACCGACACCGTGCTGCATATTTTGATTTAATATTGCTTGTTGTCACCATGGAGGTACGACTTTTTATCCATACCAGTCGACTGGCTTACATTAACTCTTCTTCGTGCACAGGAACGACGAGTATTGTCTGGCCCAAAATATGCAATGTCACTTATACTGTGTTCTCACCAGTCGCCCGCATGGGGCGGTCGCAACCTCAACTGCGACGCATGGTCGACGTGATATATTTCAATTTGTATCGGGGCAAATTCGCCCCAGAATCCCTCCTAGGTCCTAACAGCCCTTACCAAATCGTTGCCGTAGGTTGGTGTAATAGCAATTGCGGCAGGTTGTCGTTTGCTACCACCAAACGCAGCATCCGTTTCTTGCAAGGTCTTTACAACGTCGTCAGCCATGTTCGACGGGACATGCGTACGTAAAAAACTTATGCGACCCTTGGTCTCTGGGAATACTACTATAAAGCGAGTTGAGCGTATTATTTGACACGGTTTTGGGATTTGACGTACGAACTGAGAGTAACGGGGCAAGAGAAATTCCGGCAAAGATAAAGTACGCCATCCCCTCTCCCCACATCTATTCTATCTATCTATAACATATATAAGCACGAGATCCCGCCGGCGATGGCGTTCACGTCATGCTGTGTTCCGACAGCTCTTTCCGTCTGCTGCGACATGCTGTATTGTTGCGCATCCATGCTCCGTCTCCTGTTTGCAGCTCCGAGTTTGCTCAGCACCATGACGACCTCTGCTTCATTTCACGGCGCGGTCTTCAAAACGGAAGCAGCCTAGCAAGTATCAGATTGATGAAAAGAATTTCTGGCGCTATGACAGATTTGCTGTGTTGTTGCGTTCTGTCTCTTTCCGACAGCTCCTTCCGTCTGCTGCGACATGCTGTGTTGTTGCATGTTCAAACGTTCATGTTCTCCATTTTACGGTTTTTTGCTCAGTACCATGGCAATGCTCCATTTCACGGCGTTATTGGACCACAAACTTCGACGACACAATTGACTTCCTCTTCCCACCAATTCTTGAAGACGCTGAAAGCTGTCTTGATCGTGCATTCCTTTCCCTTCTCAACGTCGATATTGATGGATTTTCAACGATAAAATTCCAGACAAACTCCCGGACGATCCCCGTAAGTATCACAAGTGATATCAATCATACATTGCACTCACCAAGCCATGTAGAATCTTATTTTAGTTCGGACAGCCTGAAAGAAGCTGAACAGACTTTTGTTGAACGCACCAGAATACACACTCGACTACATCCTGGAGTATGTAACCTCTCGGCAGACATGGGATTGGTCAGAAACGCACGCGTGCGCATCGTCGTGCTGTATCGTCGTTTCCTCAAAGTCCAACTTCTCAATACATTTGAAAGCCACTGCATCCCCTGCATTCCTTACAAACAATTTCCTCTGCGACCCGTATATGCAACTACATTTAATGGATGTTAAGGTTGAGAGCGTGAAGAGACACTCTCTAAGTATTTGCAGAGACGATGTTGATATAGTATTTCCTGAGTTGCTACTGCGGACACAATTATATATTGTCGTAGAGCCGACCGAAGGGGAATCCTTGTAACAAATAACAAATAACTCACGAACCCTCCGAGAGTCGAGCGACGAGAACAACGATATACCACAAATGTATCCCATCGTTCATATCCACATCATGCCACCAAATCGCTCACATGAATTCATTTTTCAATTAGAAGCTGGTTCAGATGAATTTATGTATCCACCGTACATGGTACGGTAAGTGCATTCCAACTGCAGATAGCGGGCCAAATACCAGATTCGTAGAGACATGTATGATCAAATGTTATCACTTGTTACCTATTCGATCCTCGCTGGATCCACCTCGTGATGAGTGGCACTCGCATAAATTCTGTTCTAGAACAGATATTTGCGGTGCACGAGCATGAATACCACCGACACAGCTACATGTGCGAACTCCATCCGAGCTCCACCCCGGGTAGAGCAACATCCATAGCTCGGAGTCAGGATTAGTGCCACGCTCAGATCCAGGTTGGAAACATATGATGCCCAAGACATTGCTTACAATCAACGTCAGCTAATATCTACAAATTGTAAGGACGAGTTGTAGCCTATCCGCTGCTCCGTCCCGACCTTCGTCAAACGCGCTCGCCCCGTTCGCAGCACATATCCGCAATATGTCCAGAGTCTGTCATTTCCAATTTTGTTTTTAGCCGCCAGGATCTCATTCACAACAATCCAATCATCATCAGATTGTTTAAATAGTGGTGGCACGGGTGCGTCGCGAAGAAGCCAGCGGCAGAAATCAACACGCTCCAACTTGGGCAGCAATCTAAGCAGCATATAGGCCACGGCGCAGGGACCGCTGATCGGAGACATCACCACAGAAAGCATAGTGATCTTCTCATTAGGAATGGTTTCAAAAAAGAAGGGATTATTGTCGTAGTCGACCGGAGTTGCGTAAAAGGACATTCGAACGGCGTGCAAGCGCAGGCAATGTTGGATGAGATGGACGAGTGCTGTGAAGGTCATAGATGGCGAGACTAGCCAACCAGCTGCACCTCCAAAGTGGAACAGCTCGAGCTGAGGCCATGATTATGCGAGTGTCTTGAGCGAGGCGTCGTTAATAGGCCGAAGTACAAATGCACTTGAGCCGCAATTCTTTCAAGCGATTAAATTGCGGCAACGGGGCAACCACGTTAAAGCCAAGCGCATAGCTGCGATTGGCGATGTCTCCTCTGATAAATGCGAGGTCGTACTCAAGCTCGATGTCAAGTTTCTCAAGAGCAGGAGAAAGGCACTCTGAGAGGGAGACGATGAGGTTGAGGATATGCAATGGATCATACAAAACTTCTGGATCATAGCTTAGGTCATCATAATCGGTGTACACCGTCGCTGATCGACAGGAGGTAAGACGCATACTTCCGAAAAAGTGTCCGGCAACGGTGATGTATTGCATCGATACAGTGAGGTGCACTTGATCGAGTTGGGGGATAATTGCTGGAGTGGAGTTGGATTGCACTTCGTGGGTGTTCAGTCTGAAGTACAGAGACTTGAGGGCCAGTAAAGAAGCCAAGCGAAGAAACTCTTGTGGACTGAGGGTGCCTGTGTGAAGACAGGAAAGCTCTCGCAAGCCCGATAGAACTTTATGAGTTGCATCTGCACTTTCTGCAGAATCACCGACACATACACCGTCGAGTTCCTGAATGGATGGTCATTTACTTGGGAGAGAAGCTAACAACGCAGGTTGGGCAAGCGAGGATAATGTTAATGGAAGGCCCACCCGGATTGATGTGATAGTTGACCCAAGGAAGGTGCACAATAGCGGAAAGAAGTATTCTCGGTCGTCCAACCAATGCAAACGGCGAAGGTTTGGGAAGAGTGATGTGGGTGATGATGCGGACATGAGCACTTCCATGACATGATCGTCTGTCATGGAAAGCTGAGAACTGGTGACCGTAAAGAAGTGGACACGTGGTGCATCTTGATGCATCAGCCTCCATGTTCCGGTTAGGAGAGGCCTTTGGAGCGTCTATTTAAATTTTCTGAGTATTCAATATCATGCGAGTGGGTGCAGGCATTTATCTGACCAAGTTTCCTCTCCTGTCTCTGTTACTGACGCCTTCAGGCAGGCATGAGATGAGTGGCTTAAACCCATGTATGTGTTTCCAAAGAATATCAAGGGCAGGCTCCTTGAATGTCCTACAGGTCCTTGCAAGAACAGCAAGTCGAGCCAAAAAAAAGTTTCCGATTGTAGCTCTCTTCCTCGTCGATATTGGATATGGGGAATACAACCAAAAAAAAGTCTCCGATTGTAGCTCTCTTCCCCGTCGATATTGAATATGTGGAGTAAAATTTCTGTGGGTAGGAGACAGACATGCATGACTGCAAGAGAAAGCACTCGGAGTTGGCTGTGCTTTTAATTTATTAGATGCTGACGGTGAAAGAAAGAGAATTTCTATATTTATACACGCCCCTTTCGGTCAACTCTTCGACGATTTTCATGACAACACAGCATGACGTGATGAACAACATCGCCGGCGGTATCTCGTTGTAGAAAAGGCCTCTGGAGTCTGAATCCAACGTGATCCTCTTGCTTTGGACTAGAACGCGGTGATTGAGACATGTTCTTTCACTTGGAGCAATCGGACTCAGAGGAGGGAACTGATATTCAGGTTTAAAACATGCCGCGCCTTATAGAACTCTCGTTTTCACCAAGCTTTCGATCTGACCAGAAAGGTGTGATAATTAACGAGGAAACTCCACCTACTCCACCACACTCGTACAATCATCTTACTCCGGTCCGTAATGACTCGGAGCAGGGGAGAAAGAAACCGCGAGAAGTTGCTCTGTGCGAGCCCACGGGGATTCAGACTCCACCGTTCGACGTGCTAGAATTACTGGATGTCCCATCCCTCTTTCACGTGGACAAGTCATACAATAGTTTTGGGCAGCCATGCCAACACTTTATCGGCATAAATGGAGAACCCGTGGTCGTGTAGCAGAAGTTGAGGCCTAGGAGTGATGAACGTTGGTGATAGCCTGACTACGATGGTGCTAAACGGAGTCGCATAGCCACGTAACGATGCACAAATCACGCTCAAGAGGCGTGCGATGTTGAGAATTCAAACACCGTCCCAATACCAGTGACTGCACGAGATGAGGCGTGAACGAACTGGTGGTAACCAATAGTATGATCGACTTCAGGCGCGTACGGCATGCATAGATGTTAAGTAGACCACATTTCACCTCATGGTCGTCATCAAAAGAGATATAATGTCAGCCAAGAGGGGTCACAAGAACACAACCTTCAAGTATAACAATGAAAGGCATCTACAATTCATGCCCCCTTTCCTTCCATCACTGCCTCTACCAGCTCCCCGATCCATCGCTCAAATACCTCCTGTGCCATCACGCCCTTCTCATCGAAGAAGGCTGAGTAGTGTTTGGCTTCGTGTGTTCGGCCCTTCGCAAGTAGAGATTTTCCCCCTGATGTAGACTGTACATAATTAATGGAAAGTGAATATGATGGTGAATTTGTGGGGCTCGGCTTGAGAGATAATCCAGAGGACGGCACTGGGACCGTGCGCGAGGAAATCGTTATCCGTTCTGTCATTATCTAAAGAGAAATAAGCAGAATGAAAGATGGAGTAATTATTTTATACTCACTCTTTTTGAAAAGGTTTTCCGTCGGCCGACAAAGATGGTATCGCCCTCCACGAAGTAGGAGTATAGTGTCTGAAGGGAGGTGAGGACGAGGTAGCTGTAATGCGGGATATTTTCAATAAAAAAATCGCGATGATTCATAGTGAACACTTGCAGTATGAAACCAACCCAGACTCCTGGCTTCGACTTCTCGAAGTCAGTTTTCCACCCATAAAGTCCCGTAGCTGCTGCTGTAAATACGCCTGCCCATCCCAAAACCAATCGCACATCGGTGTGAAGATGTATTTGTTTAAATAAAACAGGTCTGGATAAGTACTGGGATGACGGGCCATGTGAGCATGTTTTCAAAGCCTCAATAAAAAGGTTACGTGCTCGTTTGAGGGCATCATCACACGCATTCTTGAGCTCAGACGTGTTATAGTTGTTGACCTTGATAACCTCGCGCTCCTCCACAGGGACACTTGTACTCAAGGGACCGGGTAGTGGAGAAACAGCTGAATTTGGACTGCGCGCTGGTGTTGAAGGTACTGGCGCAAGCCCTTTGACGTCCTTTCGGGGTGCCATGGTAGTGCTGGACGAGCAGTAAGGTACTATGTGGAGGACGTGTCATTGTACATACTAGACACGTGGGAAAATACTTCTTTAATCGTAACGGTGCTTGCAACTCTAACAACACCTGGCTTGACGCCCAACATAGGTTTCCCTTGCGTTTTTATGATTGTTTTTTCGATGGAAACACCCACTCGGGTTATCGCGGACTAGTGTCTCCGAATAGGAGAATGTTTCTCTTCCCTGTGACATCTATCTATTTCCCACTCTTCAAAGCTTCAAGTTCCATACCCGCAGCGAGTTGTTTAAAGTTTAAACAAGTCTGTCCGTCTTTCACATATATGATGCCATCAATGGGGATGTCCTTCAACTTTCTGGGCTTGGCGTTATCGCCGATGTCCTCTGCGAGGATCCAGACCTCTGGGCACATCCCCGTCTCAGCTTTCATCCAACAAAATCCACAATCATTGAGGACGAGAACTGGTTCTTAGAAGGACTGGCCCGCGGACGCAAGGGCACGAGGAGCATTTGTCAATTTAGAATGAGTATACAGGAAGTTCGAACTGGTCTTTTTAAATTTGTCATAATCTACGTGTTCGTTTCAAAGCTTACAATGTGCAACAAACCACAGGAACGACTTCTATTTGATCTGGCTAGGGGAGACAATGGCTGTACATACAACCGAAGCGCCCGAACTTGGCTCGTGTGGTCTATGAAATGAGATATTTCGTGGACCGCACTAACCATGTGTCCTGCTGTGACATTGTAATATCTATTGTTAATATTCCACTATGTCTTGGAAAGGTGACACTACCCGGAACTTTCTCAATCACTGATGTTGGTTACCGTTCACAGACCTCGGCATAAAACCATCACGCGTGAATCTGTTGGCATAGTTTTGGTGGATCGCAATAACCCTCCAGAGCAGCGAAATCAGCCAAGGCGATGTCTTGCCTGAGAAAGCGTCATGGCTCTCAGATCGCTGATGCTAATGAGTCTTACAGAGCCCCGGAGACAACGACACCCTCAGTCGGATGATGTAAAACTCAAGTGTCTCATTTCGTTTGATCAGGGTCAATTTACACCTGTATCATTTGGGTGAACAGTGTGACAAAACCTAGTTGGGCTTCTGTCTCATTAACCCCGCGACAACGCCACAGACTTTATGACAGGTGCGGGGGAGGTGCGGACAGGATATAAGTAGTTAAATGGAGAGGCTGCGGGCGTTAACATAGATGTACTTATGTTTCAAGTGGAAACTTCAAGACAATAAGAACCGTCAGCTGAGTTGTCGAGATCTAGCAGAACAATTGAACGGAAAGTTAATTGCCATCAGTTGATGCTTTTCGTCCAACTTCGTCAAACGCAAAAACAGTGAGGTATATGCGGAATGTACGGCCCGAATGACTGGACATGTGCCGGCTTTTTCCGAGCGCTAATGAAAACCGACGAAATCAAATTGAGTTAATCATGATTCACCATATCCCAAGCTTGCGCACAAAGGATCGTTATCTTCCATCGTTTGTCTAGTAATCTTGTGACAGAAATTCCGGAGAACATCAAAGGGAGATTGTATTTCGAACGAAAGCCAGGTAGAGCCATGGCATTTTTGTAACAAAGGGACGTGGCACGACCCTTTGTTATCAAAACGTCGTAGCTCAATACTAGGAAGTAGACAAAGTAAAGGGCTGATAAGCATGCCCTAATTTCTCGCCTTTGACACTCACCCACTGCATTCAAGTTGAACCTTCCTTGGATTCCTTCGTAATGGCGTACCGGTACGTCCATTACCCATATTTCTCCCATTTCCCAGCAGTCGTTATAGAAACATATGTTTGACGCTCAAGTACCATTGTGCATTGAAGACTGACTTACTGCTGAAATCATTCACATAGTCGTCCCCCCCGTCCAAATCTTCGCTGCTCGCGATTTATTAAACACAGTTCAATCTAGGTCGGAGATTAGCACTGGTTGCAAAAGGCATCTCACCACCACCTTTGTTGAAAATGAAGAACAGCTGTCAGCCATCATACAAAGATGCTTGAACAACGGCGAACTCAGATCGTGCGTACGCTGATGATGGTGAGTAACTGCGTTTCTTGTTGCTGGAGATCGTATTCCAAATGCACCGGTCTAATTCGAGCGACATCAGTTTTTGATCTTCGCAGTCCTGTTCGGGACATCCGTCCTGCTGTCCACCATCGCAATTTAGGGAGTACTGTGTTTCCGGATATCAAATATTCCGTAGGCTATGTACATGCGACAGCGTACAAGGTCGCAAAGGATAAAAACCATCCAACAGATTGTGATCATTGCCCAGATGAGATATTGCGGCGGGTCGGCGTTTAGTAGTGCTTAGCAGGATTGATTATCGGTAGCTAGGCGAGGGACCTAACCGACATTTGACGTTGACTTCGAAGTTCGAAGTCGATGAATGTCGTATACTAGCACTAATCGCACGTTGCTCGCTTTTGGCTCGCTAGCGAGTGTGCTAATTGCATCCGAGGTTATGTACGATTGAATCTTATCTTTGTGAGTATGACAGTGTTTGACTCGCTACTAGCTACATACGGTCCCGTGCCATTTGTCTCTTTGATTAACGTTAACCTCTGACTCTGAAGTTACAAATAGTGAGTCCAAAATGAATATCATGCTCTAGCGTATAATATATTCTGTAGGCTCAGTTCTTAACCCGACCCACATAGATAACAATCCATAACTGTCGGTATGGCTGAAGCGAGCACCACAGTCTCACTCCCTATCGTGGATGACTCGGAACATGCAGCTGCAGAGTCATCCCTTCCGTCATTGGCCGTACCATCACATGCAAAGCAAATAGGCGAAGTTTCATCTCAGAAACCTTCTGGGAAAACTGAGGCTCAGGCTCCAGACGACAGCCCCGTTCCGCTCTCGTTCCCCGCAATCTTGCGCAACCCAAAGCTTGCGGACCGATATGCCCACCTCCGCGAGCGTTCGGGAGCTGCGCCCCCCAAGACCTCGATTTCTAAAGCGCGCCGGGACGAACATGAGGGGAAGCGCTGGATACGGAGGCGGGAAAATGGTGCGTCGTGTCGCTATTCACATACAAGGCACACGTTGATATCTTTCTCCCTCTGTTAATAGCTAAATTTGCGGATAACCCTCATATTGCGCCGCCCTCGCGTGGTGACCATGCGGTACCGGTCCCCTTGAAGCTCTCCACTTTTCCCATCCCGTTACCTCCGTATCTTCCCCGGTCATCCGTGCTACCGTCTAGTATTCCTGGCTCTCGAGACCCTGCGAGTGCTTCTGCTGGACTGTTTTCCCTATCATTGAAAGGCGCCCGACGAGCATTAAGAGCCAGACCAGGCGCCCGGAATATAGTGGACGCCATTGAGGGTCATTTGTGCACCTGGCTTGAGGGAGGGACGTACCCGGGAGAGGAACAGGGTATGGTTTTTCCAGGGGAGTCGGTGGGAGGGAGGGAAGATGTACTAGAGGTAAGCAGACGAGCGCTGAGTCTTGTGTGGGTTGTTGGGAAGGATGGTGCGGATGGTGCGTTTGAGAGGTATGTGGTACATTGTCTGGCTCGGTGGCATGGGGTTGTTAGCTTCAGTAAGTGATAGACTGGGCTCCGAATATTTTTGTAACTGAATTATTTTTACGTAGGTAAAGAGGTCGACGGCCAACGCCTGACATATCTACTGCGACCCCAAGTCACGCAAGTCGTGGCCTCAACACTCGACACGCCCCCTGCGACAGACCTTTCCCAAGTTGATACCGAATCAGATTTCGTGTCTGACATTCACACGTCTGACCTGGAGTCCGACTTTGCATCCGACATAGAACATGAAGCACACGCTGGAGAGCTCTCGGCAATTTCGGAAGCACCTTCATCCCCCACGGCATGGTCTGTGATCGGTGGATCAGACTTTGAATTCGACGAAGGGTTCGCGGCATCTGTAGAGTCGCTCTCCCTAGAAGTGGAAGCTAATAATTTGGAGAGGACCCCACGCGCAACTGATGTGCAAGGAAACGGCGGTGTATACGTGCGGAATACGCGTACCCGATTCAGTGCGTGGAACGAGCCTCGGAGCGGGTCGTCGCCATCAAGGTCCCCTGCGAGGAGACCGCTGCCTATGCGAAGGATGAAGCAACAAGGGAAGAAAACGGGGAAGAATGCAAAGGGGACGTTTTATGATTATTTATTTGCCTGACTTGGCGTTGAGGATCCTTTTTTCCCTGCCTGTTAACTAGTAAGGATCTATATCGAGCTTGATTTCAGCTGGAGATCATCGGTACCGGTTGACTTTCATGTATGTGAAAAGGCTTGCTATGTATTTTTAGGAATAACAGATTGTCTAAGTATACCATGATAGGAAGCTGTGACCTGTGATCGTGGTATGTTCACCACGCTGTGCTTCGAATTTCATTCATGTGATAGGAAACTATGCCCTGGAGCGAGATTATCGCGGTGTGTTGACCACGCTGTGTCGTGAATTTCATTTACTTGCCATTAGCAGACTATTTAGAACACAGGGAACATTGCATTTGTTCAAGTTGCGCTGGCAGCTTCGCAGAAGAAGCAATTCCGTCCTCTAGTATGTATGGAATTACTCCAGGCAACAGCTAGTTTTAGGGCCGCAGTTTATAGGCAACCTGACATCAACCATGCGCAGAGTTAGCAAGTGATCATGTGCATGATTGCGCAGTCTATTGGTCCAAGTATATAATACACAAATTCTCACGCTTTCGGTTACTTAACTTTCGCGGGTCCGTTTTGAAAGCTCTATGTTTCCCTCATCGATGCATCCCTTGGTAGAAATAAGAGACTGATTCAGAGACAAAGGGACTAACCCTGAAGTAACCTTGAAATAACCTCCGCGAGTGTGAGACGTCTAAAAAAATACCGTGCGAGGCACAGAACTAACGGAACTTTATAGTACTAGTTTCGAGGCCGCCGGGTACTATTAAGCTTGATTTGGGAGTAAAGCTGTGGCCAAACTTCAGGGGGACCGACAAGGGACCGACGTGACAACGGGTCATATAGACCTGGTGCTGTCAGAGCCATAGATACCGCACAATTAATAGTGCCCCCGGTTCGACAATACATGTTTCAAGTCTCCCCTTAGGCTCTTATCAATTTTCACACTACTATATAACCGAGCCATCATATCCCTTTGTATCAGTATTTTTACTACAGCGACTACTCGACTCGGTCAATCAACCCTATGGCCATAGAGGATATTCCCACTTTTCAATCACACACCATCTCGAGCATGCATTCTGAATTATACCCTGATGCCAAGGCTACCGATACCAGTCTTGTCGAAGAATCGAAAGAGGAGAACGAGCAACTCCCCGTTTACCGCCTGTATAAGCGCCGTTTCACTGGCCTTGTTGGTTTCGTGAGTCTACCAGATCTCGTGCTGTAACACCTTGTGATGTTCATTGCCCCGTAGATTTTATTGGGCCTCGTGACTGGTATGCCCTGGGCATGGTTTGGGCCCATATCGACTGATTGTGCGTACTCATCATCAGTGCTAATATTCTACTTAATACTTTCCAATAGCTGCTCGGGCCTTTCACATTTCCGTCGACCAGGTGAACTGGCTCGGTAACATCATATCTTGCGTCTACCTCCCCGTCTCACTCCTCGTTCCCGTTTTCTGCTCGCGCTTCGGCATTCGTCGCTGTGTGAGTCCCTTCTACTTATCGTGCTTCAACTAATATAGACCTTTCTGAAAGGCTGAAGTCGGTGTAGTGACGCTCCTCATATCGGGCTGGGTGCGCTATGCGGGCACCATCTCGTCCTTGTCCTCTGAGAGCGCTTATACGCTACTCATACTCGGACAGGTGCGTACTTCTTTCTTATCTAACCCCATGTGACTCAATCAATCCTATCTGCACCGGGTCATCACATGCAGTTCTTCTCAGCAATATCCCAACCTATCTTCCAAGTCCTTGGTCCAAAGTATTCCGAGACGTGGTTTGATCTCAAAGGGCGAACCACAGCAACAATGGTGATCGCCATCGGTGAGCCTCCTTCACCAATTTTTGATATCATAGCCTTTAACTGGGATCCACCAGCCAATCCTGTAGGTGGCGCGATTGGTCAAATGATTAGTCCTCTAGTTGGTACGGCAAGGGAATCTGTGAGTCCCCAAAAACTTTCTATTGTTGTGTTGCTGATAGTATTCTGGGACAGATATTGGTCCTAGCAATCATATCTACTGCCGTCGTCCCGGCCCTTTTCCTCATCGAGAATGAACCAAAAACGCCACCTAGTACGTCCGGCGTGCCGCACATTGTTCCCCATGTACCTGTTACTAAGTTTGCCGAACAGCATATGCAGGCTCCAAGGCGTCACAATCACTCTACTCCCTCCTATGTGCGATGGTCGGGAAAGTTAGCCCCGGCGACCCTGCTTACATGGCTCCTCGCGAACGGGTGGACTTCACCATCAATGCGATACTTTTTGGTGTACTCGTTGGCGCGTGAGTGTTTTTACCTCACTTTATGAACGCGCATACGAGACTTGTACAGGGCAAACGCACTCAGCATCCTTTCCGCGCAATATTTCGTAAGTCTTTATTCTCAGCACCAAATATCATCACTAAACATGGCACAGGAACCTGAGGGGTACAGCGACTCCATAGCAGGCCTCTTTGGTGCAACCCTCCTACTTAGTGGGGTTATAACCGGTATCTGCACTGCTCCCCTGTTCGATCGGGTATTGACCCACCATCTGGGCATAACACTAAAGATTCTTGTCCCGATTTCTGCAGCAGGATGGTTGAGCTTGATCTGGGCTGGTGAGTGCCGCTCTATTCACTTCATGGACAGTTTCCCTTTTTGTGCGGTCTTGTACATTGGTCCGTAGCGAATCGATGACGTGGCAAGTTCTTTGTGGTTCGTAGTCGATCACCTTCTGATGATCGTGCCTATCACCTTCTATACATCTCATCTTCGATACGAGACGCGTGAGCTGATCCTCCCCCAGTCAAACCAGATAACACTGGCGGTATCTTTGCGATCATGGCCATTATCGGTATCAGCTCCCTCATCATGCTCCCAGTCGGTCTCGAGTTAGGAGCCGAGGTAACCCGAAATGCAGACGGAAGTGCCGCTATTTTGTGGTGCTCGTAAGTCCCATTTACTTATTTATTATGCCCCATACCTTCATGCTCACTTACTTCCCTCCACAAGAGGCAACGCATTCGGCATTATATTCATACTCGGTATGTCTCACTCACCCCAGTTCAGCGACGAGTTGTATTCCTGACATTCTTTGTGTGTAGCGGAAGGTGCCCTCCGCGCATCGGCGACTGCATCCCCGCCATATAACATGCACGCAGCGTTCATACTGCACGGCGTGATAGTGGCGGCGGCGGCCTGTCTCGTGGTGTTTGTACGCGCAAAGCAGGCGCGGCGGGAGATGGATGAACGCATGGCACAACACGTAGATCCAAACCGGAATGTGGAGGCGATGCCGATGGATACATTAGCCACGGCCTCTTCAGGTCAGTCCATCAGGTCGATAGAAAAGGAGGAGAGGGGGTCGATACAAGATAAAGATGACTCAATACCGTTGCCTGACAAGAGATGATATTAGGGGCGGGATTGTTGCATGACCACATTCGTGATATTTGCTTCTCGAGTGTTTATACCACATGGTGTTTAGATCTACATTTTTGCTATTAAGTTCTGGGACACTGTGAAAATAGTAGTGTATACCTGCCTATATGGCGTAATATAATTTATAAGCATTCGTCGGTACCCGTAGGGATTGAACTTGTGCAGATCTGAGAAGATGTGCGAGAAGTGCATTCCTTCACTTATTTGATTGAACAGTGTTGAATGTTTGCCCCCATTATTGGTATTCCACGGGACCTGCAGCTTCAGAAGTTTAGCTGCTAGTCGCTCTTTCTCGCCAGATTCCTTGCTTCAAGGTTGATCCAGTCGCGATACAGATCTTGGTGTTGCTAACTTGCATTAGTAGCAGTTGTTTCAAGGGCTTGACTTTAGCGAATGGAGATCATGATGTACCAATAAAGTTCATCTCTCGCCGTCCCTCTTGAAACCCTGGAAATACTTCTCTCTAAAATCTTTGTGCGCAGGAACGTGCGTGTCCCTGCTCTCCTCCGCTTCCCCCACGGGATCAAAAGACGGAGGCAGGTAATTGGCATGCGCGGTCTTCTTTATCGTGATCAGCTATTCAAGTGCATCAATACCACAGGCATCCCGATATAACGAGGCCCATAAACTTACCCTCCGCCCCCAGCTTCCAAAATCCTGCAGACTATTCGCTACAAGTTCCATTCCCTCGCATAATACCGTGTTGATATCAGGTGGGGCGTACTCGTCGCTTACCGTAGGTAGGAAGAACACGAGGCGTCCGCCTGAGCGGAGGAGATACCGCGCAAGGAGAACGAGATCGGTGATGAGTTGAGAAAGCTCGTAGGGCTTCGTTGGGGGTATGTAAGGTTCATTTCTACATTGAAATACTCTGGTGAACCCAAGGAATATTGGAAGCCAAGAACTTACGGTCGTGGATTGGCGGGTTGAAGCCGATCTTCACGGATTTTTTTGCGCCCGAGGCGTTTTGCTCCTGCACGGACACCATCTGCAATACGCCCTTGTTAGAGGAATCGATACTGTCGATTAGAAAGGTGCATACACGGTGGATCGGTTATGATGGCGTCAAACAAGCTGCCACAACGCCATGGATGGTTTGTGACGTCAAACGTGCAAAGATCCATGATGCGGGAGGCTACGCCATATTGTGCAGCAGCCCGAATGATGCCTGGAGTTTTATCTGCGAGACGGTGTTGGCACACAAAGATACTTGAAACGGTAAATTACATGCCCTTTCCACGCATTTGTCTCCCGTCGATATCTGAACCGTAGACAAAAGCGCCGAAGTAGGCTGTGGTCTGATGAAATTGTCAGTGCTGAGCTGGGTGAAGTACAGTTGACCAACATATGCCATGCTACCAGTGCCAATGAATGGGTCGTAGATTAATTTCCCAGGGGATGCCTAGCGAGCATGTAAGCTCGATCACAAGTAAGCGCAGGACAAGCATACTAGCGTCTGATTCGCCATCAAGAGGGAAATCTCTGCCTCCATGCTGGTGTTTCCGAAGTACTGGCGTTTCTTAACGTCGAAGGTTCCCATCAGTGAGCGCGCAGTTCCATCTACGACCTACAGATGAATGACGATTCAGCCAATGAACAGGTAGAAGGTATGCGAAACGCACCAACCTGCCGAAGTAGACTCGGGTGAATTCACCATCCTTGTGCAGTCCACCATCGGGTGCTCGGCCACTCTCGTCTGGTGATCATGCGCAAATTTTAGCTTAAATTGTGCGAAAATACTACATAAAGGTATGGAGAACGTACACTCCTCAAAAACCGTGAGAGTAATTTCTGGGTTCTTCATCTCAATCTTACCCAAGAAGTCCATGTATGCGAAGCTTTCGATGATCTGACGCTGGCGACGTTGGCTGATGGTAAAATTGTATCCTAGAACATTAAATTTGAATGATGTGTCTGGGATGTATCGCTCCCATTGCGGACGAGCTCGGCTGTTTTGTTCATGTAGCACCTCGTAGGATGCGCCCTCGGCGTAGAACTCATGAACAGACCTGATTAGGATTGTTAGGTGTCTTTTGAGCAGACAGTTAGTGAATAGTATAAAACACACACTTTATCAGGATGCATCTCTGAGCCAAAATATGTGCATGCTCTTCCTTGTCCAGCATCAGGATCATGAATGGCTGTTTGATGGCCTTGTCGAGGACATTGGCGTAGCGATCAAAACCTATCGTAAAGCCATGAAGCTCAGATATCGAGAGGAGCTCTGGCACACGAAATTCTTCATGTGATTGAGCGAATACAAAGAGGTACTCCATTATTAGACGATCTGTCTGGAAGACATCATTTCCAAAACAGGTTTATCTTTGAGGTGTTGTTTGGCAAAAGCTTTTGATCCAAACATGCAGTCACTGATCAAAACATTACCTTGTGGCTGTACGATTCCACTTTTTGATGTGAGAGCTGTCAGTGTTAGCAAAATAACGGCACCATTGCCAGCCCCTGACTGGCTTATTCCTGACATCCATCGAACTGGTCTTTTTATTTCATTTGCGTTGGTAAATGACTGGTAATCCTATGTGATCCTACTGTCGATGCAGGATGCTCTACTTATGGATGGATCCTTCAAGGTCTAATCATAGCCAACTGGCACCAGAACAGATTCGAAATCTTGGGTGGTACGGATTCAAACCTGCCGACAAACATCTTACCACACCTTGTCATTCACTCATGGACAGTTTTTCGGACAAGCGTCCTGGCTAAAGCGAATCATTACCACAACTCGCCCAACAGAATCGAAATCTGTTTCTCTTAGACTGTGCAGGTTTGAAACTTGCCGATCAACAGGTTTTTTTTCTATCGGAACACGCCTTGATGGTACGTTCATGGCATGGATGGTTTTTCGGAGGTTCATCTCAACTTCGTCCTGGCCAGGGCGGTTACCACAACAGGATCCAAATTTCTTGGACTGTGCCAGTGCAGGTTCGAAACCTGTCGGTGACAAGGTTTTTTTCTATCGGAACATGTCTTGAAGATGCAAATATTCACTCATGGATGCTTATAGACAGGAGGTTTCCATAACAGAATCAAAATCTGTCAAACCTGAGAAATTTTTTTCCCTATCGGAACACACTTCGACATTCACATGGATGGTTTCGTCGGATGTTCATCTTAACTGGTCTTGACAAGTGGTTGCTGCAACAGAATCAAAATTTGTTTCTCTTCCACTGCGCAGGTTCGAAACTTGCGGAATGACATGTTTTTTCTATCGGAACTCACCTTGACATTAAGACTCATGGATGATTTCCTCAGGGGTCCATTCAACTGGTCTTAGCCAAGTAGTTACCACAACAGAGTCAAAATCTGTTTCTCTTGGAGTTGGTTCGAAACCTACTGACGATATTTTTGGATCCTCGGAGGTCCCTCTTGACTAGTAGGCCTAGTCATTGCGTGGATGGATCCTTCAAGGTCTACCTTAAGCAGTCATAGCCAACTGGCACCAGAACAGATTAGAAATCTTGGGTGGTACGGATTCAAACCTGCCGACAAACATCTTGACATTCACTCATGGACAGTTCTTCGGACAGGTGTCCTGGCTAAAGCGAATCATTACCACAACTCATACAACGGAATCGAAATCTGTTTCTCTTAGACTGTGCAAGTTCGAAACTTGCCGATCAATAAGTTTTTTTCTATCAGAACACGCCTTGACGATTTGTTCATGTATGGTTTCCTCGGAGGCTCATCTCAACTTCGTCCTGGCCAGAGCGGTTACCACAACAGAATCTAAATCTCTTGGACTGTGCCAGTGCAGGTTCGAAACCTGTCGGTAACAAGGTTTTTTTTCTATCGGAAGATGCTTTGAAGATTCAAATATTCACTCATGGATGGTATCCTTGCAGGTCCGTCTTTAGTAACTGGTCTTTTAGACAGGAGGTTTCCGTAACGGAATCAAAATCTATCAAACCTGAGATTTTTTTCCCTATCGGAACACACTTCGACATTCACTCATGGATGGTTTCGTCGGATGTAACTGGTCTTGACAAGTGGTTGCTGCAACAGAATCAAAATTTGTTTCTCTTCGACTGCGCAGATTCAAAACCTGCGGAATGACATGTTTTTTCTATCGAAACTCACCTTGACATTGACTCATGGATGATTTCCTCAGAGGTCCATCCAACTGGTCATAGCCAAGTAGTTACCACAACAGAGTCAAAATCTGTTTCTCTTGGAGTTGGTTCGAAACCTACTGACGATATTTGTGGATCCTCGGAGGTCCCTCTTAACTAGGCCCAGTCATTGCGCCGAAACCTCTTTTTTATATGATAGTCTGTCCATGAATTCGCAAAGGAATTCACTCTCATGCCCCGCGATGGCTTCAACTTTTCGTCGGAAAACAAACATCTCAAAAGATGAAAGGAACGTCACGGCGTTCAGTAAATCCAACCCTTTAAGTCGTGCTTTCTGAAAGTTATATCCATCACAATCATTTGTCAGAATCTGCCTGTTGAAATTTGTTCATTCTCATCACACATGTAGCATATTGTCCGACAGCAAATTTTCTACAGCTCGATTGTTGCCTTGGCTCCTTACTTTCCAAAGGATACCGTTGATGATGTACAATTAGTATACCTTTGATACATTCTCTAAATGATCATAGTACACAACATTAGTACTTGTGGAATAGCGTTCCTGCCGGCGAAGCTCGAGTCGGCCTTTATCTTGTTAAGGTACTAGTAGCCCGTGAATTAAGGTACAAGGGGGTTCGTCCACCGCACCACATACGGCCCTATCATAAACCACATCATATGAACCTCTGGCTACATGAGGGAATCGGCTGTAAGCAAAGCTGGACACGTGCCGACTTGCTGCACTTGAGACTAGGGACAATCCAACCCAGAGTTCACGAAGCGCACTAGATGACGGTCCTCCGTTCGAGTGATCCAGATGTGCGCTGATGGCAGCAGCATGAGACGATGCGCCCTGGGTGTTGGTGCGTCTTTCTTGTTTTTCGTATAACATTGCCAGATCTTCCGCTTCTACCTCTCCATTGGAATCCATTGTCAGGTCATCATCAAACCAGTCCTGGGCGTTGAACCATATTCCTAGTGAAAAAAGTTTCTCACACCGACTGGCCAGGAGCGCAACTTCGGCCAGAGTAGGTTCCTCTGACTCCCATATTTCGCCGTTGTCGTCAATACGTGCGTCTTTCTCTGTGCCACTTCTCAGCCACTGCAACTCTAGTTCTTCGATATTCTTCCATGCCTGAGGAATGGTCTCTAGATCATCTCTGCAAAGCGCCGGCATCAGCCCGCCAATGGCGTGGCCAGCAGCAACCGTATTCATAACATCGATCTTGAAGCTACGTAAGTCATGAAGTGCAAATAGCGGAGATATCATAGGGACTGGAGTCCCTTGGCTCAGTGGTACGGGGTCGAATGGCCGTGCAAAAAAATTCTTCGCTATGAACTTGAAGTTTTTGATACTGATGAACTTTAGCTGACCTTCATCGGTCCGGTTGGGAGACAATAGCTTCGCAAGCGAGTAGAAGGCAAGGACCGACACAGGTCCATCCACCCACAGCAAAAGGGCCTCTATCGAAATGGGAGCCAATAATTTCCAAAATCGCTGTGGTATGTTCCACAGCTGCCGCGCACAGCCTAAGCTTCCTGAGGGTGCCAAACCTTCTAGAACACGGGTTATCCAATACAAAACCCTGCGAAAGTGTCTCGAATGATTCATCACGACCCAGAACCAAACTGAAACCCGCCTCTTCAAGGCAAGGCATCCTCCCAAGTTCTTTGACAATTTCTGCAGATACCGTCAGCCTTGGAAGATGAGTATTCCAAGGTTCGTGTTCCGACAGCATACCTACAACGTATAGTTCTGCCCGCTAGAGAATACGGGTGCGTGTAGTCCACCGACACCATAGCAACAGATCGCAGAAAAGATGTGAACTTGCTCCAGCATAGAGCATTTTTCCGTGAGGCAGCCTAGTGCAGCGCCTGGCGCCGGAATTCCCCTGGGACAAGATTTTACCGTCAAGGATTGCAAGCCCTGAGACCCTTCAACTAGCAGTTGAAGGCACGATAGTAGATCCAATTCTGTTTCATGGAATCCATGAACATTCCATGAACTTCAAGGTGGGCAAGATTTGGAAGAAGAGGCGAGAGACTCTCTGCTAGCAGCTTATAGTTGCTATGCGATTCAGAAGGCTCCCATTGAAGCAGGCCCACCGGATGCAAGAGCCGTAATAAAGCACCCTATCCCATGTCGAGTAGAGTAGAGCGCGAGTCGGAAGCCTTCGATTGACAAGTGAAGCATTTTCAATCACAGATGATGGCAACAGAAGAACAAGTGGCCAGAGCGTTTGTTGATTTTCCCAAAGGAGGTCAACAGCAAGTTCGTGAATTGAGTGACTAGTACGCGCGAGAGCTGATAAAGTGCCCGAATTGCGTTGCTGTAGAAAAGAAAAGATGTGACGAAGGACATCGTAAGGAAAGCGTTCGAGGACCATTTTCAAAAAAAGTTGTACGAGAACTTAGAGGAGCCTCACCAGTACTTGTCAGCTTACCGGACCGTTCTACATTCCCCGACTCCCACGATTAGTGGGAGAAGGGTTCTTGATTGCAACAAACGGCCATTTCTCTGCAAACGCATGCCTGCGAACTTAATTCCTATTTTATATTCGTGCGAATTGATTAGCTCAGCTGGAACTGTACAGTTTCTTTGTTCATTTCGCCTCGTTTTGATCCGGTCGACTCGTCTCTTTCGCCTCTCTACTCTCCGTCATTTTGTTCCAATCATCTTAATTTATTGACAAAAGTTGACAAAAGACCCCCATAAGAAACAAATAATGGATTTAGATGCATTTATAAAAGACGCAATGACTGAGCAAATGATTATACAGAGCACAAGCATGTACAGGATATGGCGAACAGACCTCCGGACGACTGTGAGAACGAATTTCCTCAGATGGAAAAAAAATGCCCGCAGATGGGTACATTTTTTGTGTTTTTAGGCAATTCGATCCCACGATCTCAAGCGATTGGCATTCGGCAGTAGGACGCCAAGCGGCGAAAAAGATAATGGGTTTGGCCACTTTAGCTGGCACAACCAGCTTATAGAAAGAAGGCTAGGTAATATTTGTGGCTGACGTGGGGCTTGAGATGAAAGAAAATTTGAAAGAGAGAACGGACAGCGAATGCAAACACGTTCAAACGTGGGAACAACTGGAAAAACTGAACGAATTAAGAAATGCCCTGCACCGAAAGTGACCCAGCTGGCGGTCTTGCAAAGATAACTATCAGGACTTCAGCTTGGGCCGTCCTGCTGCAAAGTCAGAATTGATAGAATGAATGAGAAAGATTTATTGGAGTGATGACGAGTGCCCATAATTAAAATGAGGGAGTCGGGGAATTGGTGCGCACGCACCGTTACCGATTGGTAGTGGCTTTGGATCCAAACAACCACAAAAATGTTTGAGTATATTATGTAAGTAATTAATCACCTGGCTATGGATTACTCCAGTCAATGATTAATGATGCCCGTTGAAGGTTCACTACGCCTTAGGCATATCCTACACGCGAGCATTCAGGCGTTCGACCCGGATGAAGAGAGCTGTATGCCCTCTCAGATCTCTCCTCTCTCACAACAGGACACTCACAAACCCCGCATGTAGTTGAAGAAGGCATTGAAATGCTTCGCGCTGTCCTCCCAGACACAATGATTATAGCTGCTTTGGACATTATTGATCGCGAAGGCGGTGAGTGATACTTCCATACGCTACAGATTTTACAGCTGAATGATGGGCCTTCAGTCATGAAGTACAAGACTTCTTGGGGCCGGCACCACTACGAAGTTCTAGGCACCACTTCAACGTACACTGTCTTTCCGCATCTCGGTGTTGCAAATACAGCTGTGTCGAGTTACTGCACCTGCCCATCATTCGCATACGCGGTGTTAATATCTGAGAACCATCTTATGGTGCGAATTTACATCTCAATGGTAATAGCTTGATGAACGACACCGCTGGTAGTGCAAACATGTCTTGGCGGTTTGCCTTGCAGATAGGTGGTCTCGATGTGTCGTGCGCCATATCGAAGACGATGACTTACTGTTGAAATTTGCGGGACATGTCTCTCCCTAGACGCTCTGCTTGCAATCCTCCATCGCCGACATATCTTCATTTCTATCAAAGACCTTATAGAAATAAGGAGCACCTGATTGAACAACGTGTCAGATTTCCCTAGTTCTTTGCTTCTCAATCACACGATCATCACCGTGAAGACTGAGGACCTCGTCATGCTCTACGATAACACGTAGCACAGGAATACGACATTTCGGTACCATCTGAACATGGAAAAGATGTCCTCATCGAGTTGAATCTTGGTTACTCCATAAGTATTCGCAGCGTGAAGTTGAACCGCATCCACGACACCGCAGTTTCTATCAGCTAGGCCATCAGTTTCTGTAACCGGGATTCAAGCACCCAATTCTCGATCGCACATTCCAAGCACCAATAGCATCTTGTGTAATGGTCCCGCCACAAATGCAAATAGCTTAGGAGTCACGACATCAGCTCCTTTCTATCGAGAAGTCCGCTGGTACTCAGAACGCCAGCTGTCACCAGCTTCACTGCAGAAATTATTGGACGTGTGAGGAATTGCTGACTCGTTAATTTGGAAGAAACGTGAATGCGTTCCCCAATGAGGTATGGGTGACGCTCCGCTCACAATAAGCATCTCTGCTGCTGACATCCGTGTTCCCGTGTTATCGTTGTCGGGTGTGGGACTCTTGTAACTACCTGGTTTCCTCGTTCGCAGAGGGCCAGATGGTATGATGCTCACTAAAACCGCGAGAGCGGCTGCCCATTTTGGGGGGATTCGGATTATTTACTGTGACGGTGTCTGAGTTGGGAGATCATCAAATTTCGCCATTGAAATATGTCAGATATGGGCTCTCCCCGACAATCTTTGGCTGTTCCGAAGATCGGTGACTAATTCGTCGATCATCATTGGATAGATAGTCTTGAGGCTTGCCCAGGCCATTGTAAGGGGCGAGCAATCATCAAATGAGAAAACGGAGAGCGCGTACTAAGTGTATCTTTCCCTCAAACCGGTAGAACTAGATAGTCAGTGCCGTACTGCAGATCTAGATACATATCACTCTTCCCCCAAGAAAGGAGAATGTATGTACACCACAAGATATGAAACGTAAGGACTGGGATGGTTTGTATTGTGAAATACGAGCGCGTGAACAGCCACACTGTCGGAAGGAAAGAGATGTCCGAATTCAAGGCCCCGGAACGGGTCACTAGGTAGTAGGTTGTCATGATGGCTTACAATACTAAATGGCTGGCATATGGCTCCTCGCTCCGCGGCTTATCAGCTGGAAAAACAAAGCAAATTCGAGCTGGCATCGACCTCGTATCGCAAATAGCGATATTTTGCAAAATCGCCTTGCTTCACAAGTGACAATCTACTGGCATTGCATATTGCATGTTCGAAAACGGACTTCAAACGGAAGCTTCTTCCTGCGTCACCCGGGCCATGAAGAATAACATTCAGCACATAGTATAACAAGCCGTCTTTTTACTGTCCCGTTCAGATCAACTTGACCCCACATATCCTCACAAACAATGCGTTTCTCCTCTATCCTCGCCGTTGCTGCCGCTTTGACAGCATCAGTATCTGCCAGCCCCACTGCCGTTGATAGTAACGGAGGGTGTCCTATATTGTGCTCAGATTACGCCTGCTGCGCTGGGCAGAAATGTGCGCCGCAGGGCATATTTGTTGTGAGCATGAGTATTTTGTGTCCACCAGATGACTCACCGGCGTGGTAGATCGTCTGGGTGTGTGTACTAGACGAGTGAGTACCATGTCGCGACAGTGAATTACCGTATGGTGAGTCGCGTTTCTACTTCAATTAGCATCGGTGCAGATGATGGCTGATGACACGACATGTGAATTGCTAGTAGTTTGATGTCGAGTTGATCGATGTCGTGCTTCTGAACAAAGTTCACTGCCGCTCGAGCAATGGAGATCTTAGAATAGGGGAAATCTCAAATACTTGAATATACAGAATATGACTGAAGTACTTAGGAGTTTTGTAGTCTCGTTGTAAGCTTGCATATAGAAGCCCTCGATGCCAGTGGCACCACGACTCCCCCCTCCATAAGCGCTGCTTACTATGGATTATGGATGCATTTTCGGTCTGCAATGGCCCGCTGGGGTGTGTCACGACCCCACTAGATCATGCTAGTGGTATATATGGAAAGTCGTTATTGTCAAGTTGCGAAAGCTTAAGATCCAGAAATGGCATTTGGACGCTGTGAGTGATCCAGCATGCACTTTCAATCATTCGTAAGCGTATGCAAGTGGGGACATTGACGGAGCGCTGCAAATAATCCACGGGATGCCCAACGTGCATCAGTTCTGTCCTTGCAGCCTTGCTGGCTCGTGAAAAGTTTTGCGTATCGTTGTAAGCGCTGCAAGCTGGATTTACGAGACATTGATATCTCTGAAACGACAGTGCACCCGGGATTTCAAACGTGCGTGAATATGTTGGAGAGGATTTCGGCGAGCCTGATGGCATCACTTCCGGATGAGTCATCAGGCAATTGACCAGAGAAAGATAAAGTTATGCAATGCATTATCTAGTCTAAAATAAATGAAATTTGTATCATTATGATAGATCTGCAGACAAAGCGTTATATACTCGGAGTTACTTGGATAAAAGCTGCCACTCCTACCTTTCTTATGTGGGAGGGAAAGGCTATAATGTCTATCAGCATGTTGAGTAAATGGCGAATAAGGAATTAGAAGTGTTGGTGGCAGTGCAGCATTTCACACTTGCTTAGCGGCCTCATGTTTCCACAGCCGTGGCACGCATTCAATGAGGCGTTTTCCTGCGCTCCTCGTCTCAGCCACGTAGTTGAAGGCGTGGAAAGAGTGCTGCACTATGCATATATACAGTACATTCTCTTATATGATCAATATGCTTAAATACAATGGATACGAGCCACTTAGCAATGATACATGTCACAAGTCCCACAGTTACCCAATGATCACTAATCTCAGTTTAACATGAGACAGTGGTCATAATTACCTCCTTGGTCCGCGCCCCACCATGTAGGGAACAGGTGAGAGGTCCCACCAGCGCCTTGCACCGCAAACGAGAGGATGAACACCATGACTTGAGTGCCTCCGTCAAGGGCTATATCACTTGATTAGTCCAGGTCCCTAATGAGGTTCGGGAATACTCACCAGCTCCGACAATGTAGTTGTATTTAGCAAACCAGCGAGGGTAGCGCGTACGCAACCACCATTGCGAGAGGAATGCGACAGCAAAGTAGGACAGATTAGCTGAATTGATCCCAACACAAAGCCATCCGATGTAGTAGCTGTGAAATATGTGAGCATGCTGCCAGTAATTCAAGGAACACTAAACGTACGCGATAATTGGAGTATAAAGATAATCAGCACGAAGCCTTGGCCAGTACCTGTGAATGACCCAGAAAGGAACAGGTATGAAAAGTCCAAGTACGTAAGCCAAAGGAACCCATTGGTATATTTGGCCTGCGGAAAAGAGCTCCTGACTTAGTCCACCCCATGCAATTGCCTGAGAGTTGTACATCTGTGGCTGTTGGCCAGACCAGATATTGGTTCCTTGAACAGACAACAAGATTTCACGTTGGTTGTCTATGATTGAATTCATCATAACTACATGTGCAATGTCAGTTGATTTTTGTAGTCATGTAACAAGTAGTGTGCGCACTGTAGTTCAAGACTGCACCAAGCAGCGTTCCAAGAATCTGGGCAGTAAATGCAGCGCGAGGTGGCAGCTTTGCATCTGTAAATTACGGTCAACACAGATTGCCTTGTCCTCAGGCTCCTACATGCTTGAAATACACGCACACTGAGCAATCTTGAGGTCGCGGAGTAATATATAGGCTTGACTGACAGTGTCTGTAACGTTGGGTTAGCCGACCTGTTCTTGGGACGCAAGGCTGACACATACTGTATCCGTATAGAACGAAGTACATATTTGCCACTGTCGCATTCGTCAATCAAAGCATATTAGAAATCAACGACGAGCAAGGCAATCACCTGGCAACCCCCTGTGAAGGTAACCACCAATCATCTGGACAAACCTGGTGCAAATTGAAATATCGAAGATCGAGATTGAATTCAAGCACCTACGGCTGAATGATAAACATCAATCCTGTAATCGCAGCGAGTGCACAGAAGAATAGAATAGAAACCGTCGCCAGCAAGAGCGAGATAAGGAAGCCCCACCTTCAACGCTCATCAGCCTGGACCACATTTCCAATCATAGCTACTCACCATGGCAAAGTCGAATCGGTCTTGTATAAAACGACCAGGGCAATAACGAAGGCCACGAGGAAAACGACAAAGTACCAGCTATTGGGAGCATCCGGATACTATTACAGAAAAATTCATGTTGGTAAGCTGAATACAGAGAAATGCAAAACTAACCTTCAGCATCTGCTTGTAGTGGGGATCGATATCCTCATCATCGACGTCTTGCGTCCGCATTCCGTCGGCTCGCCAGAACTTCCAGTCAAAATTCGCCCACGTTTTTTTGATGCTTGACAGACTCATCCAACTCCATGCAGAGCGCATATCGTCCCAGTTCCAGAGGAGAAGATGAGTAAACGTGGCCGCCAAAGCCTAGGATTTCAGACTGTCAGTCCGCAGAGTCTCACTAACGTTTGGTGAACTTGCCAAATTTGAGGAAAGCAAGTAGACTATCCAAGTGCTGGAATAGTAAGGTACGCCTTGTTCAGCAAGCAGTGTGGGATCGACTTCATAGTTGGAATTTAGAATGAGTGTTTGATTGTACTGTGTTCCGTTTTCATAGAACAAGAGTTGAGAAAGCTGTGGGGAGTTGGCGTCAATGTTCTGCTTGCACACGAATATAGACTAACGAATGGGAAGTTCTGGGCCTTCCAGATGTTGTTGTAATATACAGCCACAAACACAACCCTAGACATAAGTCAATGCAAGTCTCGAATCAGGGCGGAGTGATCGCACATGCAAAGGAGGTAGCCCAGTAAATTCGATACCTATTTAACAAATATGTAAGCCTGGCCCGCGGACTTGAGATGAGGTCAAACCTGTGCTTTCAGCGGAATAGTCATAGGGTTCACCCCGGGAGAAATATACTGTCGCAGATGCAGTCAGTAACGCGATCCACTTCGAAGTTCGGGTTCACACTTACTTGCCAGTCAAAGCAGATAGACAGGAGCCCTAGACCCTCGTTACCGTTTGTACCACCAAACACTCGCGAGACGGCGGCATTGTTGGGAGCTGCAAGACACATAATTGACAACCCGGTCAGAAGCGGAAAGATCCATTCTGGGAAAAGCTCCCAAAAAAAGATACTGAGTCGATCAGCATGTTTGATCATCGCCGGTCTTAATCGAGGGACTTACGCAGTAAACACAATGTAAAAGGCTCTGAGCTTCTTCCGTGCTGTCATCCCGCCCTCGTAGAGAGCATCGAACATGGACAGCAAGGGTAGCACACCGGGGTATAACATCTTTGATGGATATAACAAGATGCCTGGTAGAGGTATGTGAACACCGGGTTCAATAACAGATTCAATTGTGGACATACTTCTCATCATACCACCAATTCCATAACTGAGGACATTGTCAGCGTCCGCTGGAACTTCAGCAAAAATTCTCGTACCCAAGAAGTTGAGAAGAGAAGAGTAGGAACACCGAGGCACCAGCATTGGGTGTGATATTGTAATACAATCTTTAGCAAAGATCAGTAAATTCCATCAATATGAGTAAGGTTCACTAACCGTTGGACGGCAAGAACTTCGGTACCTAAGGCGGAGTTGGCAGAGGCGCTTGCCATAATCACAACAAAAGCATTTTCTTTCTTGTTGAATGGCCCCTGCGAAAGATGCTTAGAATAAAGTAACGGACGTGGGTAAACTGGTTTACCGGATTCAGATAGCGCAGTAATCCGCGACGAGGAATAACAGTCTCCATGAAGACGCCCAGGATATAAGAAACAACTGCGAGGAACATCAATGACACTAAAACTGTTTGCTGCAGCAATGATATGAGCACATAAAGTTGACATGCTTGCTGTACTACGCACAGGCTTGAAATAATAGATTTCCGCTACAAATTGACATTAATGAGAATCATACTGACTGAAAACGAACTCAAAGAAGCTCACCGAGTACTCCGCCAAAGGTTGAGAGGCCAAGACCGATAAAGAATGCACGAATGTCCACGGGTTTAGAGAAGAGTCGTCATCCACCGAGATGATGTGCGTAGCAATATCACGTTCATTGGAGAGAACGCCTTCCTCACTGTCCGAGTCAGCATCAACTGTTGCAGTTTCAACGTCGCCTTTCCCATCAAACGATTCGTCACTAGTGCGAAGAGCTTTCTCGTTGGGCACGGTGTGCTCGCAGATCGCCCCTACAGAGGTCAGACTCATCGTAACTGATAAGACAGTACTACAAGAGAAGCGAGAAGTTTCAGCGCTCAGCAGACTATAAGTATTTACCTCAAACTGCGGCAGATAAGCGACTATTCTCGTGGTAATTGGAAATCCAGTAACTTGTTCGGTACGGCCATCTCGGTGGCACCACTGTACGCGTGATATCGTGAGCCTCGTGGTTAGTAGGGAGATAAGAAGGTATCTTGCGAGAAAGAATGTGATCCACTAGACAGTTGAGGATAACATTACTAGACTTCGAGCAATGGCTAACAGATACTGCGAACGGGAGTCCAGGAAGACGAGCAGGCTATACTGTCATATTGAAGCTTCAAGGTATGTGATAAGACACACACCTTGATGCACAATGTGTCTAGTTCCTTGACGTCTGTAGCTTGATGCTTCATCATTGAATGTATCAAGCATCAAATGCATCTGTCATTGCATTGGCAAGCATCAAGCCTGCGGCCCTGCGCTGAAGCTTCACGTTTTCCCACGATCAAATCTTTAGTTTCACCCATTTTGGGCAGGTACGCTCCCCGCATTCCCACGACACCTTTTTGCCAGGTACGCCCCTTCCCCACTTCTTTGCGTTTCTGTGCTGAAGCTTCATACATCATGCGTTGGCTTCTCTCCCCACCTTCGAATTCCCATCTTCTCTGGTTTAGTCCTGACCTGCCGAAGCACTACGTCCCGTATCCGACTGGCTATTGCTGCCTCTAGCTGGGCCCTACTATTACTGCGCGCCTTTGGTGACTGTTGGCCGCAGTCTGCAATAGGGCTCCAGTGCCCACCTGCTCCAAAGTGGACATTTGCAACTCCCCACAGCCCATCATAGCCTCTCGCTACCTCCTACTGCTGCACCCCTCCTACCGCTGCACCCCTTCCACAACCGCTACAAGTTGACAATTACCTAGGTCTGCAGCACATCTACTATCATCACTCTCTACAAGTAGGAGTCCGCCCTATTTCCCACTGGCATTGATTTGGTCACAACAGCCGCACCTTAGCACACTCATATAGTAGTCTTTCTGTTGTGCGTCCTTGATCTTTGGTTTTACCAGGTACGTCCCTTCCCTGCTTCTTTGCGTCTCTGTGCTGAAGCTTCAATTTCCGTCGATGTTTCAGATACCTTTTTCGGCAGGTACACCCATTCCTGGCTTCTACCTCCCTCCCTGGCCTCTCCCTCCTTCTCGACTTGTCTAGCTAATCGGGTTTGACTTTATTTACACCAGGGTAATTGGACGAGCGTGCTCCTCAGCAGCCTTGTCTTTCGGGTCTACCTGGAAATTGCCTTTGTTTAGGGCCAGTCCCTTTGCCACCTCTGGCCGATGCCCCGTGCATCATTTGGCATATCAAATATGCCTTATGCAATCCTCATTGCCACCTCCTTTACTGGAGTAAACAGTCTATGTCTAGCGAGACTGGGTGAAGCGGAGTTCCTTACCTCTTCTCACTCAAATTACTTGTCCCGCTAGCAATCTTTTGCGCACCCACCCATTTTTATACCTTCCTACGTTGTATATTAGCTACGGGCTCGAGTCTGGGGTTATCTGTTCCCAAATCCATTGGGGGCCTCTTGCTCTTGGGTCCTTAGGTTTAGAGTCTTTTATGCATCAAGGTCCGTGTCTAATCTGATATATTTAAGCTTCAACACCACAGGTACAGGTGTGGTATTATTGAGGAGGTACTTCTGAGCTTTCTTTTAGAGACTTCAATGTTGCACCTCCTGTTGTAGGCTCCAATGTAGCGGTACAGCTTCGAGACATCGCATCTGAACGTCCCATCTTCGTTTTTTGATGATCACATGAAGATACCACTCCAGATCAATTATACACTATGTACATGGAAACATGGAAACGCGGGCTACTATCATGTTTCGTAACTTCCCTCTCGATCGATCATTGCTTGCCATCTCTCAATGTCTCTAGCCATCCATCGGGACTAGTTCCCTCTTCGGCATAATGCATATTTGCATCTTCATCCTTCAGCTTCATTGCTCCGGTCTGCACCGCAGTTTTCTGCGTCGAAGTTGTCCCCTCTTGTACAGAGAGTGACGTCTCGAGGGTCGTACTACTGGGCATCTGCGTCAGGATGACGCTCGTGAAGACTTGATTGGGTGTGAATGGTTGGTCGAGATCGACCGATTCCTTTGAGCACATGCGGTATAAAGACGATCACGATCACCAGGATGTTGCAGATGAAGAGACTGAAGGCAGCCTAATTTCCGTCAGATTTTATGGAGTAGTGCGAGGACGGGAGCGTACGTACTTTGACGTACGCCAAGATGAGCATGGTCGACGTGTGGCTCATGGAGATGTTTATAGA